TATATATATATATATTAAAAACTAAGTTTGAGAATTTGCTAAAAACAAATGACTGTATAGCGTCTTGTATTTCTTGCAAATTTCACGGGAAAAGTTACCAACATACTAAATCACTATCCTCAGAAAACTAAATCTCAGCAAAACTTATTCGTCTAAAGCTATAAATATATCACTTTTCCTGTTAACCTAAAACTGATGTATAATGAAATGGATATAGGGTAGTGAAATGGTGTCTTTGTTACAAACCTGATTTGTCTGATAAATAAGATACAGTCCCGATACATAGACAGGCTCCACTTCGCCTTCTTTGAAGTACTCTTTTAAGGTATTCGAGAACCGTTTTGAATATTTAACAAACTCACGCCGTCTGCAAATATCACAGTGCAAAGAATAATATACAAACCTGACCCCTAATTTGATAACCGGCTACCTGAATGGTATTTCGCTAATAAACGACGTATATAGTTAAATGAGAGCTGATAGATTATACAATTTTTTCGAACCCATGCAATTAGGGTCTGTTGAGCGCACGTTAATGATATATCTGATTATGAATAATCCACCTAACAACATAAGATAAAAGCATAAAACCGCAACAGTTTTACCTTTGCTCCAGCGCGTGCTTCTTATACGGCGCATGCGCAGTGACTCCATTAACAGCATCGAGTAGTTTCTTGATTGCTGAAGCGATTTCCTTAATTGTGTCAAGGAAGCTTTTGCGATCGCCGATTTGGTCAGGCACGCGCGACAAGACCTGTGATTATCAGGGGTATTTGGATTTGAGAACAATAATAAGTACACCAATGTTTCTTCGTAGCAAGAATGTAAATACCACTGAAAGGCAAATGATACAGTAACAAATTATAAAAATATACTTTTTTAAGGTAAACTGCTTTTCGGTTAAGTTCCTGAAAGATCTCCTCGGGTCGATTGACACGAAGCTCCGGCTCCGAGTCTGCCAGAGTGCCCTGTAATGATCAAAAACGAACACAGATGAAAACTTAAATTCCAGATATCTATAGTTAGAGACTTTTTTGGATCATAAAATGGTCCTTGTTACATCATTTTATTTCTTGCGAAGCGAATTGAATGTTTATTACTAGATACTCAAGTAACATCTATACCCAACTTTAACTGTAGTATTTTGCAGTTTTAATAAAGCATTATTAAACACCAGTGTATCCTTATTCAATAGATTCGGAAGTTAAGAGCCAGCTTGGACATCTTTTTCAGTGATAAATTGAAAGACAATTATTGATTTAAGTGAGCATATGCTTATAGGTTGTAAAGGATTTACCTGCAGCCTAAGAAGCTGTTCCGTGATGTTCACGTCTTTATCGCTCTGAGTTTCTCGTAACAGTGCACGAACCTAGTTCATATAAAACAATATGCTGAGTTGACCTTTCTAATCGTTTGGAGCGCCTATTCTAGATAATATAAATTCGAATCCAACTTGAATTTAACTCACAAGGAAGGTCCGCCAAATTGAAAGATCTAATATGGTAGATTAGTTCTTGGCGATACCTGACGTACTCAAGAGCCTTGCGGTGGTTTCTTAGGTAAAGAAATATTAATTTTTCAACAAATCCCTACAGTTACAGAAGAAGCACTATTCAATATGAAGATAGCTAAATAACACTTCTTGATCTTCGATATGTGTAACCACTGTAACCCTCCAACATACCGGTAAATAAGAGATTAACTAAACTTTAGCATACACAGACACTCAGGCAGGCAGGCTCTCTTTGTTAGTCAACTATGTCTTTCCCGACTGTTAAGTCGTCTGTCCTATCTTTATAAATTTATATTTCTTTTAGTAAAAATACTCTGACAACTCAACCATAATATCAGACTCCGCTAGCACTCAATGCAATTACGCGGTAAAGAAAGACATTTCGTAAGCTGCTACCCTTGAGCTCACGGTGGAAACACACCCTTCTGATATTTAAAAGCACGTACGTACAGGCGCTAGGCTAAAGAGCGAAGTGACACTTTGAAAATAAAGCGATTACGGGAAAAAATGTATGTTTCTGTAAAATAAAGAAATAAGATATTTATGCTGTCGACAATTTAATTGAATATATTGCTAACAAGTTTCGTAAAGGACAGTCAAAGATTACTTTTTTCTAAAAACTCAATAATGCGAAAGGAACCGATTTTTGAAAACTAATTATAGCTACAGCATCTCAAACAAGGTTAATTTAAAATGGAATCATGGCTATCATCGTGCTATATGTGCTATGTATACGTTCTAGGTTCGACAACGGTCAGCACCAAACACTGTGTGATAGCGGTCACAATTGATTCTTCTGGAAAAGTCTGCACGAGGTCAGCAAAACTTACCAGTTCGAGAAGAAATCCGGGCGAATTTTTTTCAGTCCTTGTCAAAGAGGTCTGCAGGATTTGCGCCGCCGCGTTTTCTTTACGTTCAAGCTGGAACGAATCAAGTACCAAAGCAGGCAGTGGACGAAGTTAGAATATAACTGTATTGCAACAGGCAGGGAGTACGGTCCGCAGACAAATAAAATATAGCTAGGCCAATCATAGTCAGGGATCAATTAATCAAAAGTCGCGGTACACTATTGATTCTGTTCTATAAAAGTATAAAAAAAACTAGAGCAAATAAATCACATGGTAACGTTGATCCATTCCATGGACTCAGTTGCTTATTCCCTGGGTGTTACATAAAGCAGTGCAAGAGCATTACGCTATTTATTTTTTGAATATATTCAGTACATAGGTTACGTATGTGCGAGTGACACACGATAAGAACAGCAACAACAAACTAATCATGTAGGATCAACTTACATATTAACACATCTTTAAATCTATGAGCCTATTGAAAAATCCTGACTTAAGTCGGTGTTAGTTGAATCCTGTCAGAACAATATGCTGATCATATATTTAATAAGCAGGTAAGTTGTTGTTTGAGTAACGTACATAGTAAAATCATTTATGCATTTAGCAGCTTAAGGACAATGCTCTATTTCACACTCTGTATATATATTTCACACATCCTTAAACGTGTAATGAGAATCCCTAATATAATTCAAACGTTTGCATAAAAATTCGAACGTTTAAACCAGGTAATATATTGTGTCTCTCCTTCTATACAGTTTTATCGTAGTAATGTATCAGTAGTCTCTGCCCAGTTTTTGTGCTGCTGATAAGTATGTCTCACATAAGTTATCTAGACCCAGCTGTTTGTACCAATGTTAGGTGAAGCCAACGGACGATGCAGATTACGGGGAAGGTGCAGGGGTACGAGTAGTGCAAAGGGAAAAAATGCTGGCTACGAACCAACACGCAAAAGGGTAACACGAGAAAATGGGTATACGCACAGTCATCATAATTCATCGCTTTTTGTTGATCTAGATTAAGACTTCTGCATCGGCGGGATGTGTATTTCTTTTTACGGGTTAAACTAGCCACGTGTCGTTAACACTACGTGACTTTTTTCCGTGTGTTTGTTCCTGTCTGCGTTTTGGCTGCCTACTTTGGTTGCCCGTAGCTCATGTGCATTATTTATATTTAAACAATGCATATATGTGCTGTTTGATACAGCCTTCTCGCTCCAGCCTGACTATTTGACTATTTTTTTTATGTGCCTGTCTAGTCTGTTTCATTGCGGACATTTACTTAAAGAAGGACGAACGACATTTCCATCTGCATTAAAAGCATTAATATAGTGAAGACAACAAAATGCATGCACATAACAGAATTAGAACGGATGTTAACTGAATCAATCATGACCCTCAAATACACATACAAGTCACATCGCGTCTGGCTTAATCTATCGACTGACTGAAGTATTACGTATCCCCTACGTATATGGATAGTTCACTTTATAAATAAAGTGAATCTGTAATGAAGATATTATTAGATTGTCCGCATTAATAAAGCTATCCTTTACTGAACTACCTGTAATCAGTTTTCATTAAAACTGTATTACATTGTTTAAGATTGACGAATAAACGGCTAAAGAAATGCTTCATTGACTGATGATATTTACTTCAAACCAGTCTAAAGTAAAAGTCATTGCTGGAAATACAGCACTACGTTTCAGTAGAAAATAGTACGCTATGAGCAAGTGTAGAGGCCGATTAAAAATGTTCACAGGCTTTTAAAGTAAACAAAAACAGTGAAAACATGACCATTCATACAAAGATTTGATCGTTGCAGTTAACTGTCTTGCAGGAAAACATTAAAGAACGAACAAGATATGTTCGTTTTTTCAGCGTTCTAACATTCGTTTCTCATTTACGAAAGTCTGTGACATTTTCTCTAAGCATTATCAACAAACATAAACAACGTCAACACAACAGTCCTCAGATTGTGACTTGAAGGCAATTGCGGTTAACAATTATGTTAAGTGCAACATTTAAGTAATGCAGCTCTTAAACAATAATTTGCTTAAAAATCTAGAAAAATGTAACATTCTTCAGAATTCTGTGTTTCAATTGCCGTTATACCAAGCCTTTATATGTCAACTACGTACACTACTATTGCAATTATTATCAGCAATAATTTCTCTTCCGACAGTGACAGAATGCTTAATAATGTGTAATGAGATGAAATCGCTTGACCCGTACTCTTCTTGAATAATATGGATTTCTTTGATTTATTTGTAAATAAAAAAGCATACTGATCGCAGTTCAACAATGCCAAACAGACCATGGGCAGGCTACTACACTTCGACTTCTAACAGAATACCAGATAAAGTTCTGCGCAGGATTGCGCCGCAGAATTCAGTTGTGATTTAAACGTCATGAGCACTGTGATTGAGGCTTTCGATATTCTTATCAATTTGGTAAAAACAAATGCCTGAATATCCACAACGTATCAACGAAATAAGTGGACCACTTTATTTAAAATTACAAAGAGTATTCAGATTAGTATGGCTGCAAATCAAAAGGAAGCAAAAACATTCTTTCTTTGTATAGGGTACTTATTCTAACTAATTCATAATAATAATATCCATAAAAAAACGATAACTCCGAGCAAAGTGTTGATTCTACAGTTTGTTGTTAACACCGAATCGGAGTCAGCCTATGTCGTGTTTCAAATTTAGCTTACATTTATTATTGTATTAAAGGCGGGACCAACATACCTTGCAATATCATTATAGTAATAACTTAAATCAAAATTAGTCTACTCGTATATCAACTTGATAAAAAAAAAGCGTACTCAAGGCTATCAAGATCACTGAAGTAAAGAACATCCTCTCTCGGCTGCACAATCGCCTTTATAAGTAGAAATATTGGGGGAACTGGGTTAGCCAGTCTAATATGACAGGACGAAGGATGAATGTATAAAATACGAACGTAGGTTTTTTCAGTACGTTTTCTTAACAAGGAAAATGGCGTAATTGCGCAAACTTTCATTTACTGAGCTCAATTTTTCTTCGTAGCCTTCGTGTGGATGCAACGATGTAAAATTATTTCAAATTTGATTACTGTTTAATATAGATCGCCCAAGTAATTTTGTCGGCACTTGTTTCAAGGACCGTTCCCGTCTATTCCTTACCTTTCTGTTAGAATATTTTCTTATTGTTAAACGACATTAGCTTGCCAGTTCAAACAAGAAATAGTTAATAGAGAAAATATATCAATAAAATATATTACAGCAGTATGCAACCGTTACCTTTTCGAGTATTGGCTTGATGAGGACGGGCATAAGTAATGCAGCAAGCGGTACATCTTCATTCATTGTGATTTTAATTTTCTGGTTCTCAAGAAACTGGCCGACCGTCCATGAAACGCCTGGTAGTAGTAAGTCTTATAGACTACACAAACCCATTAAATTTTTCCAAAACGTAGGTCGATCACAACAAAGCTCTAGCAGAACTTTTTCTTCATACTTCAGTATTCTCTCAAATTAGTAGACCACCAAATACCGATGAAAGCATATCTAAGAATCGCTTTTATCCAGTTAACGCTTTCCTCGATCCAACTATATACTTCTGTGCCACGACTGGAACCACGGGCACCACAAATTAACAATTATTAGTTCCATCTGAAGAAATACTTCGAAGTTCAACATCCCACTACTTGATCATATCCTAGAGGTAACAACGATTACCTTCTTGCTGTCTGTACAAGATATCCGTACCCTCATTTATGATGTCTTCATAATTCGTTGCAAGCTATTGACACCCTCGGTTAGTAATAAAATGCACTCGCTGAATATGCGGCACCTCTGACGGGAACCGCTTTCCTCGTAGGTGCTGTTTTAAACGGTTTGTCTTCAGCAAGATTCGTTCTATGGGAGAAAAACAAACGCTGATGGTCTATTAACATCAGTTTCACGTATGCGAATCCAGATATATTCTTTGAAGATCACCTGTACGCTTGCATGCCCGACAACAAAAATAAGACAAAGCTACAGATGCACCACAACACCTACAATTTAGCAGTCTGATGAGCTTCATCTACGTATTGTCAAAATGCAGACACTCATTCTACAGTCGTCCGTCATTTACACTAACGGAAGCGCAAGCCAGTAGTGGTAGTTTCACAGTTGCAGACAGTCTGTGACACTGACAACAGAAAAGAGAATGGCCTTTTACTGTTATAGGGTACTGATCTTGAAGAACGACCGCCAATGGAAAGATCGTCCGTATTGTCAGCTGATCCGAACGACCAAGAGTCGGCAGCAATAACCCAACATGGAGCCACAATAGTACAACACAGCACAACAACGGAGGCAGTTAACAGACAGACACAGGACCAACACAGACGTATTTACACTAGCCTCATAACTTGTTCACATGAACCGACAGCGGCAATGAAGTCGGCGATGGATGCATCGTTTCAAATAAAATTCATTGTAAAATTCTAGAAGGCATTTAGGTTGATTAATTAACTTAATTTTTGTTAAACGAGCTTTACGATATCGATTAGACTGTAGAGATAGATGAAGGCCCAAGTAGACTGTTTTCACTTCCGGATTAAAACAGGTGAAACTTCTTTGCTTATGAATACTTGACATAAGGAAAAAATTTACTATGAACTAAAAATAAGTGCTTCGAAATATTAACGAGCGGGCTTCATGATTACTTCTAAAGCATTTTGTAGAAATAAATGGTAATTACAGATAATTGAACTTTAGCCAGTAGCTAATATAATTATGTGATCATAAACTCATGAGGACCGTTTAATTGCTATTTTATTTCAGAAACATCCACTCTTAATTAATTTACACAACAAAACCTATCTTTTATGTATATGTTTTGAAAATGAAGCTCAATGAATAGGTAATTATAATAACATGATTAATAGACACTCAAACCTAGTCCAACAGAAACTTTGTGACTGCCCAAAAAATTAAGTACTCTTATTTTATGTTATCAGGGTTATTCTGAATTAGACTAAATAAGTTATTTTCTGGTGTTGATATTATCTTGATTAAGTATGATCTCTACATTGGCACTATACTTGTTCAGATTATAGGCTTTCATTATTTTTATCCATAGAGAGGGTCTATGATAACGAAAAAGATATATTTTAGTAACCCGTATATTGCTCAAAGAATATAAAAAACGTATTCTTCGAAACAAGCTAAATTCATCCTACAGATGGGAACTCGAAAATGTACACTTTATCTTAATAAGTATACCAATGTGATAGCGGTTATCTAAATAGCGAATACGGAATTCTAAATCAATAAGCTTCATTCTATTTTTCCTATATGAATTTTTTTTGGACATCAGAGATCAAGTTAGCGTGTTATAGGTAATACCAGGTTCATCGGGCTCACGTTCTTTTGCAATTTTTTCACGCCTTTTGTAATTTTTGTTGCTCCGGGTCGCTGAGCCGCCCCCTAGCAGGTATTTTGCGTTCTGTTTACTGCAAAGATCACTAGTCTCATTGTTATCATACAAACAAAAAACGAGGAATGGAGAGCAGATTGCGTCTTACTATTTATTCAATGCACTATTGTTGCAGAGCATCTCTCCATCATCACTAAGGACTACCAAGTGGGGTTGATCAGATGTTTTCTTTGATGCCAGAGGAGGTATTACACCTTGTTCGTAAACAAATATCTATAGAAATTTCCATTTTGATTGGATTGTCGGCTCGGCGTTAGCAAATGTCTGTTTGTTGTGAATAAATATCTATAGATTTTGTGGCAAAGACGTACAAAGGTGAGCTATACCAATGCCTACTGGAAAAAAAGCATAAATTGTGTCATTGTTAACCGGTATCAGAGGGACCCAAAATAGACTTAACAAAATTTAACGCGAGTGATCAACCGTCGAATCGAGTGGACAGTATTGTCAGTACTGACTATGCAGGCTTCTGGGACATTGTAACAGTCGAGCGCACAACTAAACGTTAGGTGAGCTTCTATATTCGACCAAGACCTTAGCTGCATTTGTTGATAGCAGAACCGGACATGTTTGCTGGCGATAAAAATGTCTTCTACTCATATATCTAAAATAATAACAGAGAAAGATAAAAAAGTGATTTTTGTACAATCGGATTGTTTTATTTCATTTGTGTAAGTTGTTAGAAAGAGGCACCGTTTCAGGGCCAGTCAATTTACATTTTACTTATATACTTTATTCAGAAGAAACCGTAATCCATTTAGTGGCGTTTTCATGTTTCGATATCTACATGACTAGTTTTAATTAGAGGGCATATATATGTGAAACAAGTCACGTAACCCTAACAGGAGGGATCATCAGTCAATGAATATAGGCTCATCATTTTTTAACGGTCCATTGAGACACATACTGTTGAGATACGTAGCAGTCTTAAGCTAAAGTTTTCCATTTTTTGTATTTTATATTTAGGCGTCGATTTTAAAAAGGGAGTTGTTGAATGATTGAGTAGACTATTTGAAATCACCACACGTCTTTCGAAACCTGACTAACTTTAAAATAACTTTATTGAAAATATATCTCAGTAGGACTGGCATTAATTAATATTCCTTTGTAGCAAACGAACGTCTAGAAAGAATAGTCTAATTTAATTAAGCTCTTTTATATCTTATATCTTTTTTAAAGAGATTTAGCTCTCAAATTTTTTTGGCATCTTCCATCATTGTAGGTGATGTTGTTTAGAATTTTAACACAGGTGAGTATATTTTCTATAAGCTGCGAAATTTTATAAAATCTTATAAAAAACAGTTGACATTATCTTGACAAAGGTAACTTTCCACAGGTAACAGTTTATCTGTTGTCTGTTCTGTAATTAGGTTTGAGAGTTTATTAAACTTTGAAACAGTCAAAATTTAAAAAGGCGTGTTACATAAATACATCGTAGCATTACTCGGATGCGACAGTAACGTTGCTTGATAACCGCTAAATCTTATTATCATTATCATATATGTGTGGTGGAGGCAACCAGTTAATTTCAATATTTATAGTTACTGCCGTATACAGTTAACGATGTAGTACGTTGCTCTGGGTGGGATTGTTCTTTCAAGCTCAACAGAGTTAAAAAAAATTCGTTAGAAAAGTTGAAATTAAGAGAAATTAACGATTGAATTTATTTTTAGCCTAGGACAGGTATTCATAGTCAGCAAAAAGCTGCTTCAAAGCAATTATGTCGACGTTCTCAGAAGAGTCTCTTGTCAAACGGCTCAAGGAGCTCAATCAAACTCAACAAGCGATTGAAACGTTAAGTTTATGGCTTATCCATCACAGGTACTCGAATTTGATGTGAGCCGTTTGCCGTAGCGTATAACATATATAATGCGAGTGCAAAATATCTAAATGGGTGAAAGAGGCAATGAGTCATCAGAATATGCATGCCCTTACATTGACAGCTAATGTATTCGCGTTAAATATTGATATATTATATATAAACTATAAATTATATATTAGTTAATATTTGTAACAGAGTTTACGCTCCTACTCCGCATTTTACCGTAACAACCATACCAACCGTATTGGCCAAAACATCTCACGTTGGCAAGATAACTTTTTGTATCTTTAGAAAGCATCATAAACGGATTGCGGAAGTATGGATGAAGACGCTTCTTGACCTGGAGAAGGCAAGCAGAAAGGTTTGTATAACAGCTTAAAGAGCTATTCAGAATATGTATTAAATTATTTTATTCTAATATAATAAACTAATTAGTTAACTACTTAATATTTAGAGTTGCATCCTACTGAATCAGTAATATTCTCTTTCACCTCTAAGATTTACTTTTATAGTTTAAGTCTTATGTACTTTTAATAGCAACACTGAGGGTGTTGTCGTAATCCGATCTCTTCATGGATTATGTTGGAAAAATCATCAAAATATTCGCCTACACACAGACCAAGAATAGCTATTAGCGATACTTTTCCCTTTATTGTTTTTGATTTTACAGCTTACGCTGCTATATTTGGCCAATGACGTGATCCAGAATAGTAAACGTAAGGGACCTGAATTTTCCACATCGTTTATAGGTCTGTACGTAGAACAGTTTGTAATTTTGAAGTCGGCAATCGTGAATATCTATTGGCATAACCTTCAATAATGTTGCATGTAGTTGTGCAGCTTATACATATGTAATTGTGGAGCAAATAGTTTTTCTAATTGGACTCTTTGATATAATTATTAACATAACATTTGAAAATATGAGCTGCTATCATGTTAAGATAAAATTTATTCACACATATTATTAGCTACGTAGAAGTGTGTACATAGGAGATCAGAAACATAGTCACTATTATAAAAGCATGGTATCAAGTCAGAATAGTCATGGTCCGTTATACTTATCTTACAAAGGAGAGAGGGCGTTGTTCGGTAATGCCCTGCGTCGAATGCATGGTTTTCAGTACCATCGACAAAGGCAGCCGTCACCGGAAGCTGCTAAACCGCTATTACATTTTTACTGTATCTCTGAAGTAAGTGACAACTTGACTGTGAATAACCTCATCTTTATTATTACACTTGACGATGCTGTGCTTTCTGCTCTTTTGTATGCTGATGTCATCTTCAGATCCTTTGGATGCAGCCTTTCGCCATATGTACACTGTACATCCAGCTGAAGAGAAGGTAGGCCAATCACGTACTTCGTCTCTGATAAATCGGTACGGTGTAGCATATAACTTCAGTTGCTATATCAAATGGATTATTCATCTGCGTAATTTGCTTCAAAAGCTTTCTTGAAGTTGACTGGATGTCATGCAAGTCCACTGTTTCAGGTGAACTGGCCATCTTGATTTAAGAATATTGGAATGCCTAATGGTAATAATTGCTCAATACTAGGCATCCAGAGGCATTTGCCTTGATGAATAAAGGGTATGTTTTTTGGGTAGGAATAAAACTGTTCACCCTATTAATTGAATAAGGAGTATAGAACCTCATTATCCGATCTGTAAGTGAAGGTGCCGATCTCCGCAGACAAGTTACATATACCATGCAGAACTGAGTTATAGAAACCTGTAAATTTCTATTGCGTGAATTGGGCATTGCTGTCTATATTTTTAACGTATTCCTTTCCTAGAAATTTTGTAATGTATATGGAAACACGTTAAGACACATATGTCTATATTCCAATAAGACGATTGCTTGTAAAACACAGACATTCTACGTTTCGATATATAGGAGCAAAAGTTTCGTCGATGCGACTTAGTCGAATATTAAGTTCTAAGTGCTCCGCGCTTTCTAATAATACTATTTAAAATAACCTTTTTGATGCGCCTGTCGTTTTGAAAACTAAAACAGAGAGGCAAGCAGCCCTAATTTTTTTTAATACAATGACAAATATGATGACAAATTATATGTAATTGCAACCGCACATTTTAAATATAAAGGTATCTGATTACATACAACTTAACTAAGGATTTATAGCATAGTTATCTTTTGCACCTGATTTTAGATTTTGTCTAGTATTGGCCGTATTTTGAGCATTTGGAAAGATAGACGAATTTACGACGAAGCCGTGATCGGTCGATTTGAAAAACATAAGACTCAACATCAGAAGCTACAACAGGAAAAGTCTAAGGCCAGCGACAAAGACAACAGCATTCAGAATCCTAATAGTCACAATAATGGAGATCAGAAGCGAGCTCGAAAGGTTTGTACCCTTTTCCCAGGCCTGAAACTACCTATCTTTTTTGGCTAAGCTTTGTTGTTGTCTGGCGGCTTTTCACGAGCGCTGTACAACCAATTGCCCTGCGCTTCTGTGCCGTACACATATATGTATATGTATATATTTTCTATTCTATTTATATCTTTAACAAGTAGAAGTATTATTTTTTTTTCATATTTTTACTAACAATTTGTATTTAATACTTCGAATTGGACTGAAAACTGTGCACCGCGCCTATTTTCCGTAATATTTTTTTATTCAATGCCTTGTTAAAATCTATTTTCATTCTATTTTAGTCGTTAGGAGACTCTGGTGCTCCCTCTTCGCCCACGGCTCCTCCAGATCACAGCACACATAAAAAGCCTCGAACATCCCTTTCGGTATCATTTAATGGCGATGCCAATCTCGGCGAAAAGATCGCACAGTTTCAGAGCAACCAAAAGGGCAGCCGAAGCAGCAATTTCGAAGCAGACGTTCTTCCTGAAGATTTTAAGCCTCCCGAACACAATGAGGTAAATTGACCTTGACCGATGGAGCAAAAACAAAAAAGAGGTTTCATGCTTAAGGCTAGATGATGAAGGTCATACGACCTAGCGGTTGTATTTTTTAGAGTTTTGAGGTGATTTATATAATACTTTTAATTTATGGTTATATACTTTACGAAAAGAATGTGACCCTAATGTTGACCAGTAAGTTTTTTCTATATTGTCCGTTTGTAACAATCTATAGGTGATACGCGCGATCCTTGCACTTGAGAATGCGTCGTCCACGGACGCAGTAGTTCGGGAAAAAATCGCATCGCTTCCCCGCGAAGTTAGCGACGCCGCACTCTTACAAAAAGTCAATGACCAACACACGCTTGATTCGCTTCGTAAGCAGGTAACTGAAAACAAATTAAGGAAAATCAAAATCGCTATTGAATCTTGGTCTGTACTTTATATTTAGATATAGACTTAATGTTGATGCCGTTAGTAGGCCGTTTGATACCAGTTCTAGCTGGCATGCGAATAGAATACACTAAATATTTGTTGTGTTCTTCCATAAAGGTAGAGGATGCGTGTAATCTTCTTAACGCATATAATGGAGACCTTGATAAGGAGATTACGGCTCGAGGCAAATTAGCCACAATTCTGCATGATTTCCGAAGGTAAGATATGGAGGATGCTGCTGTTAATAATTGGAGCGTTAAAGAATTCGTCATAATGTATTGCGTAACACATCACGCATTTCGAGGATCGCGCATTTTTAATCAAATCCATTGATTTCAGGTATAACGCTCACAAAATGCGAGAAGCTGAAAAGGAGTTAGAAGTATATAAACAGAAGCTCAGCAGTGCAATTCAGGTACTCTTATGAGTCTTCACCTTATTCCTAAGTCTCCTAGGTGTCATATTTAAATGGCTCGGGCAAATTTTGGTCTGGACTTGGCTTTCAAGAACTGTTGCAGTTTAACATTAAACCTATCATTACTGGTCGATTTACCTGTTCTTAAACTTTTCTTAGGTGTTCACATTTAAACGTTTAACCGAAACAATAAGAAAACCCTGTCGATTCGAAAATGAGACGAATCAGAGGAACATTGAATTCAGCCATGTTAAACTTTTAAAGACATGTTATAATGGTAGCGTCCGATGATGTTATAGGTCCGCGACGAGGTGAGACGGCATGCCAACAAGCTTCCCGACATGTCGAAGCTACCCAACGTTCAGGGTTCCCGCCTTGGGCCCTTGCCTACCGCCGGAGACCTCTTTACCAAGTAGACAACTAATAGTAACAAAACCTATTGCTTAACACGTTTTCATCCGTCATATGCATGAGAGAAATAGTAAAGAAAGACGGTTTTTTTTTCGGCACAACACGACGTGTACACCGTGTCGGTTGTCGAAAGTGGAGCAGTCTAGCCAAGTAATAATCATAAGGATTATTATTTTTATTACCACAGATACTAGTTTCTCATCGGATCGCAGTAATGTCAGAGCACGTTTGTCAGTTTGGCCGCCTTATGTAATGTGGATCTATTTCGGAGACGTGTACATATCTATATAGGCTTAGTACACATTTCTGAGGGACCTTTTGAATAATCTAACTTGTATGATATATTATATATGATACCGTGGTAAATTAAAACGAATAAAGCTTTTTCAGGTTGAGCTCTTAGGATAACTGCTATTGGGTCGCGGCTGGTTAGGACCTTATCATAGCTTATTGTGTTTTAAGAAGCGAGTTATAAGTTTTCCCGGATAAGTTCAAGCACACACAGTTTTTCTTCGTCAGTAGATTTCCGCAGTTAAACTACCAATGGAATGTACGAAAAAGTAGATTGTCGGCAATAGGTAAAGTAGTATACTGTTCTATATAGGTAAACAAGTTCAACTGAATAGCAGTAACGACTGTCTCAATGTCTGAACGCGTGTGTAAAGCTAACAAAGGGTGAATTCGATATTTAGCAATGGATAAACAATAATTTAATTTTATTTTAATTTATATCAGTACAGGATGCGAGTTTCGAGACAAGTGCGGATATGTGAATATATGTATGAATGGAGAAGTCGCGAATCAATAATTAAGCACTAAACATTTGGAATCATCACAGAACTTCTCGTTCTTCTCGTTGTGTTTTCCTTACGAGTATACAGACTTAGTTAGCTGACGTTTTTTTTTGTTTTATGTGCGATGACAACAGCCTGACTAAAGTTGGTGAGATTCGTTCTACCTGGTTATCAAAGGTTTAAGCCAGTGTATTTTATTTGCGTTTAAAAGACCGAAATTCTAAGTTAGCCACTGATACATTGACGAGGCGCCTAAGATGAGCTTAAGATAATGCTGCAAGGGCATGAGGTAATCGTTTTTGCAATGCTATCTACCTATTTCAGTGGTTTTCTGTCAAATGTCGTAATCAACCGAATTCAAGCGCAGAATTTAAAATAGGTAAACCAATATATATGATGGAAACTGAGGTTCATTAATGAAGTATAAATGCTAATATGTTAAGTGAAAGGAAAAGTGTTCATTCATACAAATCGCGTGATTTGATTAGCCAGCCGTAAATCGTACAGAATCCTTGCTTTAGGGAAGTGATGCTGAGACTTTGGTAAATCATGGAAGTAATTACAAATGAGGGAGTCTACGAGGTTAAGAGTAAAGACAATGATGGAAAATTATGTGCAGGGGGACGCGTAAAAGACTGCACAAAGATATTTAAATAAAGCTGCTTGTTGCAATGAAGAGGGCTTGAGAAATTATCGTTTTCTATTTACATAGCCATTTTTGCATTGCCAATTATAACTAAGATCTTGGTTTAGGTAAAGTAGTGCATGATGTTTAACTGTTCAATCCTTTAAACTTGTTTAAGCGCTTAAAAAGTAAAATCTGAGGCATGGACGCGTGTCCACACATGTAACTTAATTATTGTTTTTAGTATTGTAATTAAATTGACTGATGTTAATACCGCAAAGGGAGTGTAAACATAATGTTATTACTATTTCCAGATAACAATATCGGGACAGCATGGACTTCTCATTTAAACTTTTTGAGTTGAGATAATTTTTATAGCAAACATTATTAATTATCCGTCAACGTTGTCAGCAGTTCTAGGCGTGATTAAAACTTGAGCGTATTGTATAATGATTGCGATAACGAAGGATGCCAAAATAAATCGTTTGAATTTTTCAAAGCCAACCGAAATTTTTTGAATAGCTTCTCTAAACAAAAGGGGACACAATTCTGAATGCATAGCAGAGCAACAAGAATTATAAAATGTAATGGCAAAGTGGAAGCCAGGCGCATAATTTTGGTTCAATGTTAAACTCGTTGTCACAATGTGCAGTTTGCGAGATTGACCCGCCAGCTATTACGGTGGTCTGCGAAGTCTGCAAATGCTGTTCTGCCTATTTCTTTTTTTTAAATATTGCTATATGGCATTACAAATTGGAAACGATGCATGTCGATATAATTCCTGCTACAGCTGTAACCGGCCACGAGGGTACACGCGCACCGATAGCTATATCTGCAAATGTACTGTCGACGTGTGCTCTGCATGTTACGTATGATGAGTACCTGTGTTCCCATAATAGCTTAGTGGGTAACGTATTTGCCTGCTAATCTTTGGGACCCGTTATAACCTATCTTCGAACCCGTGCATAGACACACTGTTTCGTGCTGGGAGGCAGCCGTCGCGTTTGGTAGAATACCTAACGGCGATACCAGACGTAGAATTCGAGAAATAGTGTCTATATGCCTTTCTACTGTATCGTGCCGTCGAGTAATCCGTACAGCCCTAAGGAAGTTTTGCTGGCATAGATTTTGTGCACTGCAGCTACCGTGGTTGCGAAAATACAAGCCATTACCAGTCACTTGACCATTTTTTTCGAACATTTCTGCGACTATATAGTACCGTACACGCCACCACCAGTACAACAGGTTCTAATCAATACTTCGTGATTTATGCTTGTCTAATTAGACATAAAAACTTACGGTTAATTGACCGCTACCGCAGAAGAGAAATTTCGTGAACAGCATGAGAAAGCATCTATATAGTCCTGATTTGTTAAATATTGCATTTTAAAGTGAAGATTATCAGTTATAATTTAGTCAACACCAAAGTCTTTTTTTTATATGAACACAAATATGTAGTAAATATTGTTGGCAAAACTTCAAGTAAATAATCGTACTTTTTTTGTATGTAAATTATTTTAACTTATGTTCCATTTCTGCTTAGATGAATCATGTTCTTCTCACTACTGCTTTTGCTACTTCGGAGTATTAACGCTTCCGACTCTAGGGACGAAGATATGCGTTGCTGTCAATTTACTTGGAGAGGGAATGACACGATTCATTTACTTTTAACGTAACGAAACCTAGCAAAAGCTTGGATAATTTTTTTGTATTATCCTCGGCTTTTACTCTGTTTTAATTACGTAGCTTTTGCTAGGACTACGTGCATTGTTTGACATCTATAAACAGAATGCATAATCCAAATGGTCAATGGTTAAAGATCTTTCAGTCTGAGACAAAAAATATTTTTACAACTATATACCAGTTTAGGTAAAAACATTATAAGAAAAAAGTAGTTTTCAGAATCAGCCTGTGGATTTTCGATATCATTTTCCGTTTAGCACTCTCAAACTAGCTGCATACAAACGACCTTAATTACGTAATGGCTGCAGATCAACAGTGCTATGAATATTTCCCTACATAGGATCACTCTTGTTCTCACTGTTGCGCTGTTAATTACCGAGATTACAGCGTGCTGCTTTGGAGGCAGACATCGCAGTAACTTTAGCACGAATTTATGGAAAACGTCATATTTATGATAACGTATGGCTTTAACCATTTTGATTCTCATTTGCCTTTTTGAGCGCTCGGCGCTAAGACATTTATACGACTATAATTTTTGAAGTTGCTGTTTACTGTCATATCATTAAATGGATATATCAACACTGCGTAAAGATTTTTGTTTGAGGCTCAAAATAAAATTAGTGTGCTATTATCATTATTTGGTATGCAAGTAATAATAATATCCTGTCCACACACAAAAAGTGTGTTAAAATGGCGATTAACCTAAAATATTTTATCTAAAATAATTAAAGCTTCAGCCACTGTCTTAATTTTAAGACGTCACACGCACACATATATATTATTTATAGATTTCTTGGAGACTACAGCATGGGAATGCTAATGGCTGTGTAACCATTATGATTTATGAACCGTGCAGTATTCGTCCTAACCCTATTTATTAAGAACGGCTCAATTTCTTTTTGGTAAATCCCACCTAATGTACGTTAGTAACTACAGTATAAGCTGCTGTAAATGACATTTCGATTTTTAAGCAGCTGCTGTATCAACACCAATAACCTCTTTTTTCATTTCGGCACTGAATCAACCTAAATCTACAGATTCCAGCTATTCAAAAAACTCACCGCGAAAACATTTATTTCAATTGCATTTGATGGATAAATCCCCGCATGATATGAAAGGTTAACTATTATACATGGAAATGAAATGTAGAAATGATTCTTGATGAAACAAAAACCTGACTATTGATTTGCTATAAGGTCTACACCAGCAGCAAAGACAAATCACTTTACAATAAACACGAAACTTGTATATGTTAGAACTACCACATTAAGATCGTCCTATTTGGTTAACTTGATGGATATTATTTAAATTTTAATGTTCAAAATGTTAACATCAGACGTGAAGACAATGCGAGCGCCGAGATAAATGAAATAAGTATAGATCTTTAGAGACTTTTCTATCCTGAAATTCCTGGCCCGTTCATAAAATTAAGGAATTAAGAGAACTACTAGACATCAACTGGTTTGGTTCACTTAGTCTTTATTACCTAGAATAATCAGGTAGAAAAACAAAGACAGTACATAAATTTGCCGGAACTGCCCAAACGTGAACAGATGTTCATAGCGCATATTTACGTTTGTCGGGGCAAAATCGTTATTCTATATAGGAAAATGGGGATGTAATCTGTTATTGTGATCGTAGCTCATTATCACGTGCGGCGATGTTTCATTAACATTGCACGTTGTGCATTCGTGCACGGTCAAAAAGCACGTTAATGGTTTTTTAGCAGACCTCCTACATCTGTCTTTGCCTCCATCGGACCGGTCTGTTTCCAAAGGTACGTTGGCCAGCCGTAAACAAAGTCGAGAAAGAGTCGAAAAATAGACGTGTATGAGTCTGTGTATGTGTGTGCAATTTGTGTTTAGAAGCTCGCGACCGTCTAGTCATTTCAAAGCGGCTCCGTTAGTTCTACTATCTTCAGCAGCAATGTCCATTTCGGCCGCGATGTTGCTAATTCTACTCGTTTTCTGCCGTTCTTGCTCGGCTACCTTCATGGACATTTTCCATGGCTTAGGCTCTCTGTTGGATTTCACTCGTCATTCCATCCGACACAATGATACAGCCAGTTCTCATCAGTCTAAACAACACAGGTTACACTGGTTTGGCGTCATGTCTGGAGGCACTCCGTGGCCTCCTCATCAAAATGCGCAAGTTGAAAGTTTATCGCCACCAATAAAAAGACGTGTAATGGACACAAAACATGTTGAAATAAAAAATAGTGAACAACCAAGGCTTATTACTGTCGTTAATGGAGAAAAATTGAGGACCAAGGCAGAAGCAACCGTTGCCCCCGCGGTTACACGTCCAGTTGAAGATTCAACCACAACCGCTCAAGCTAATAAATTCTTGACTAGTACTGCAACTCCGTCTTTGACCTTAACGACATCGACCAAGTCAACTTTTCTGACCGATTTGGGAACACCAAATGGTGAAAATTCCGCAAACGAAGCGTTGCCTGATTATGTTATCTTTAAACCTTTACAACCCCTAGACTTGGATAGGAAACCTCCATCAAAGATGGTTCCAGGAAAGAATGATCTTGCCGAATCAACAACGAACTCCTCTCTCGTAATCACACAATCGGCCGAACCGTTGACAACTACCGAAGAGGCTACAAGTGTCACCCAGGTTTCAAGGCCACTACCCCCGCTAACGCCATTTATCATTAATACCTTGATTCCTTCAACAAACGCATCGTCCACGGGGGAGAGTGCCCGTGAATCGGAAACGCTGCCGGACTCCGCCGAGAAAACAGGACGGAACCAATTGACGTTGGACATCAATGATATTTTTCAAGTTATTCAGTGATTAAATTGTTAGCCACATATTTAGAACACAGATGATCGAGAACTTCAGCAAATCACGCTAAAGCATGATAGCTTCAATTTAGATTGTTACGAGACTTATTTTCTGGGCAGGTTGTGACAAAGGTCGTTTTCATGCTTGCGGATCGACTACAAATTTGCATTTCTTCAAGAAAAATTCATAGAATGAGGATGTCAAATTTATTGTACTGTTACGTCGGCGCTATTTTTATTGTATACATGACGGGCGTGAACACACTGGTCTATGAACGATGCTACAAGAATTGGTTTTAGCATCATATTAGGTATCTCATTATTGACCGGCAATAAATGCACGCAGTGTTTAGATTGTGAAGGGTTGTATTCAGTTATTCAAGTAGTGTAACACAGTCTTTAATAAGGATCTCAGATGCTTCCTTCCGGTGTTCTAGGAAATACATACAACAAAATGAGATCTCTAACTTAGTTCCGCGTACTAGACTCAATGTGGAGTGTAATAGGCAAGCAACCCAACAAAGTAGTGACAAAGTAATCTTCGCTTATACGAGGCATTTAACGGGCGTTGCGTATTTTACACCATAAACCAGCTTGACAAAAGAAGCCGAGTAGGGATAGCAGATCACAAACGTGAGCTACATGTAACATGCACGGCACGAAAATTGTACGAGGATAGTTTTTGCGATGGCTGAGAAAGCCTTCTAGCCAAAACTCCACAAATATCTGTCCTGGGGCTTCGCTTGTTTACTGCGTTCCAATTAATTACATATAACGTAAAAAACAGTCATGTTACGAGAAATGAATACAAAAAATCAAATATTTATTATAACTAAGCAATACAAGATGTGGGGGGCAGATACTTTTCGATCAATAAATAATGTTTTGTGCTGAATTTATGTCTTACTTGTTGTAGTGTTAACTGAGACAACGGTGCTTGCTACTTCATATCTCATGATAATACTAGAAAGAAAACTAAGCTAACGAAATCGCAAAACCAGTACTTAGCTCTCTCAACGAAAAAGTCAGTTCTCGTGTGGCCAGAGAAACCATAGATGAGGACATGCGACACGCAGTTACGCGGAAAAAGTGAGATCAACGTCTCCTTTTGTTAGTATGTTAATGTTGATACATTAATGATATTGTTAATAATTAATATTCTTTCTTGCAATAGAGATTCCTCATGGTTTTCTTATATGTAGCAAATAATATATTCATATTATATAGTTAGATATCAGCTTAAAGTTTTTCTATTATAATTCCCCGAGTTTAAAGAGTTACTTGACCCGTTCCTTGATTTAGTATCATGTGTTCTGCAATATTTGAACTACGATGTTTGTTTCTTATACTTAGTAGCAAAATGGTAGAAAATGGCCACAGTGAACTCCCAATGCGCCATTTGAGCGCTATTTATGCCGCTTGCTTTTTAAATACAAGTTAACACTGTCCGAACAAGAGAATATACTAATTGGATTCCGGATTATAGTCAAAAATGCGTTCCAACCGTTAAACTGTGGTCTGCTAATTATTGTGAATCAAAATCAATTTTTCTGTGAATAATATTTCACTGCCTGGACAGGCCGAGACTTTCTAGGACGAACAGCTTTAGATATTACTGGACGAAAATTTCACTCAAACTCAAACTTGATCAGTTTGGCGCGTCTCAATGGACAACATCGATTAGTTTGTGCGCTATTGGAAAGTTTAGAAAAAAAAATAGGGAGGGTAAGACAGTTAAGGCATCAAAGACGTCTATAAAGGGCTACACTATCTTATGAAAGCGTTAAAAAAGATTATTTCCAAAATCTGTTACCCGGAAAACGGTTTTCGGATGTCAAGGGACTAACAAAGATGGATCTCTATTTTGACTCAAGGATCCGAAAATTCTAGCGCAAGGAAATTCGCGAACTGCGCTATAAATGCCTAAAGACCTACTAATTACTAATAACTCCCATGGCTGGCCTCTTCAAGGCTATTTAAAAAAAGTAACGCTTAACATTGGTTAAAAAGACTAATCACTTATTTGTACACTCCTGAGCTTCATTATAACCACTCAAATGGTGTCATTTTTGCTCCATAGCAGTTACTCTGTTACCCGTCGCAGTTTTAGCATTCTACAGTTTGAGCTGTCCTGCCAGAAATTTAGTGGAAGGCTCCGGACAGTGTCGAATCTTTTAAGAAAGGACATTGAAATAAGGGTCATTGGATCCTGGTATTGTGCTTCTACAACTTTCAGTGCGAAGTTTTGCAGTCTGGTCATCGAGGGAAGGAAACCTACGAAGATAACGAGATACGAATTTATTCATCAATTAAAGTTCTCCATCAGTTAATACACCGACCAGCTATATGAGCGACTGTCCATAGCAGTAGCAATTATTTTTCACATACTTAATAACGGCTACGATTGCTTCGTTGATTACTTAAATCAACGAAGCAATCGTAGCCGTTATTAAGGCTAATATATGTACCGTTATTTAACTAGTTTTATTATAGCAGCAATTAGACATCAATAGATTTAATAACTTGAGTAGGCAGATATTCCTAATTCTTCCATCAATTATATTTTTAATAACATCCACAGTAATTCGAGATTAGAAATATGTTGCGAAGATGTATGTACTTTATAACAAAGGCGAAATTGACTGCATAAAAGATACTATGTTTAAATAGACGGAGTAATTTATTTGAGCCATTAGTCGTCTGGCAAGAAGCGTCGTTGCACCTATCCCTAACTTCACTGCGGCAGATGAAGGCAAGTTCTAAAGATTAATTTCTGCTCGTGTGAAACATCCTCTGTACATATGAGCCACGTTTAAATGTTGCAGATATTTTGCAGACAGATCGTCCTTTGTCGTTTCATTCTCTGGCCTATGACAGCGCTCTCCAGAACGCTTTTCCTGTCGCGACCCTCTCCATGATAAAGTACCACTGTTTGACTGCTGGCGGAGAAAGCCGGAATGTACAAGTCGCCCAGAGGTAGCCCGCAGCTATCATCAGTCAGCCATAAGCACAGAACGAAAGAGCAGCGCTTAGAATTAGACGAAACAGGCAATATTGGCGACTACTCACTTGCACGTGTATCCGAGACCCAAAACGAGCGGTCAACGTTGAAACAAGCTTTACCCACCACCGATCTAAACAGGAACAGAGAGCGGTTCCGCCCGATTTCGAGGTTCAGACCAATTGTCATCAATCCCAATCTTCTCTTCGCTACAAAGTTCGAACACTGAACTTGTGTCGATGCATTGAACACATTGTGTAGTTTAACTCTGTTTTAGCAAGTGCCTTTCGAATGACGGTAGTTCAAAATACTTCATTGCATTTGCGTGCAAATTGTGTGTATACGCCCAACACAGGGAGAACAAAACATACAGTTACACATTACCAGATACGAAAGGACGTGCACGCAGTTCAGCAACGATCACGCAACGATCAGATCTGCTTTCGAAAATATTGCTAGGTGCAACGCGGCTAGCCAATCTGTGATAGGAGCTTGATAGCTATGATCTGGCCCTTCTTCCTGAGAGCCTTCGCTTTTCGTTTGGAAGAACGGTCACGCCTAAAAAAGCTGTTGTCAAGACACTTCGATCTAGAAAACCTACGTACCTATCAAATCACTGCTTGCATTGAAGAATAGGCCGTAATTACCTGATTGAGCAACGCCTGCAGGATAAGTACTCATGGCATTTATATAACACCGAGACCTTTCATACAGTTCAGCTAACAACGAGAATAATTGATTGGTTTCGTTGTTGACGAAGACTGATTACCTTTCTGATGTCTGTGACAGAACGCAGTGATCTTCATCGTCTAATCGCATCCTCGTCGGTTTGAAAACTTGTCAAAAAGCGACAATAGACTGCCATATTTCCTTAGATCAATACGAGAAATTTCTTAGAACCGAGATCAAAGAACAAAGACCTTGCTTTAATTGCACCTGCAAACGAATTTCAGTACCAATAGCGGTTAGAAAAATCGATTCAGCTGACTTGTGCAATTGCTGTCAGCTTGTTTTACAACAACTCAAATACTGCACAGATACAGAGTGCAGGAATCGACGCGAATGAATTTGACAACCCGATTCGCAGTCCTTATTTTCGTTCTGGCGTTAGTATGGCATTACAGTTTCGGTCTCCTTGGCGGTAGAAATCGTGCAGGCTCGTCGCGAGAACCCAAAAAAAACTTGCACAAGACCATCGTTTACACGTACGGACTGACAATTGCCGAAGTTAAAAGGGAACCTTTTAATGGAAATATAACTTATTGTAAACTCATCGAACTCAAGTAAGTATAAAGTACATCTTTACTTGCTTAGATCGCAGCTCTTGTGACTTATCTATTTTCAGTCATGAAGATCTTCATAGAGATACACATGTTCCTGAATGCATTACTAAAGGAACTTCCTGAAAAAAAGGAGGGCAATTGAAAATTGACCCGACTGTGGGTATATCCTTCCATCTTAATTTGGTCCGTGTTCAGGTTCAACTAGGAGTTATTAATATTGCTAATATAGGTGAAAATTTCCTAACAGTTGTTAACACAGTATCATTGGAAGTGTACGTCCGGTTAACACAGCAGCGCCGAAACGAGCCATAGGAAGGAACCAGCAGCTCTCCTTATTACTTCAGTATGTTTTCATTAGGCATATTTTTTAGGACCGTTTGGTTCCTAGACCACTTGATATGAATTTAGTTTAAAAACATCAAAAGCATCCCTCGCACATGATTTGCAGCCCGTCAAGGGCGGGCACGCACCTTTCTGGCACCAATCCAGCTCGTTTTTAAAATGTTAATAGCCGTTTGAGTCTAGCATTTAAAGCAGACCTAAGCCCGCGTGTTACCAAGTGGGTTACCAAGCTTACAACTTGTGCTCCCTCTGGCGATGCGTCTAAGTTGCTGCTTGCTAGCAACAGTTGGTGGTTAAGCCAAAATTATAGCCAATGATAATCTTTAGTGTGAAATTCTCAAAAATAACAGACACACATATGCGCGGTCACCTCGTCAACCTGTCACTATATTTGATTTCCAGTTTGAGTCGGTTGTCAACTTCGCTGTTCTAGGCCGAAAAATAGATAAACCGCCAGCAATAGGGTGAGAAGAATGATGATCGAGATCCGCTCACTTTACTTGACTGAAGACTGGCACCGGAGGCCTAAAGCGAACGCGAACGAATAGGACTTCATACATATGATGCTATTTGGTTGTGCTCAACCCCGGAAACTTCATAGTACGTCGCACAATGAAGTTAACTGATTTATATTTCTTTGTCGAGATTAACTTGTCACTGTCTAGAACGGTCTACGATTGCGGTACTTGTTCAGCTAATGTAGATGATTTCCACGCATCCGTTTACTTCTACGAAAGCTGTAACTTAAGAAATTACAAGTTATTTCATATAGCATGCCGTATCGGCTCCACAAAATAACACGAAGTCGCTGTCACTCATCAATGTTCCAGTCAAAAGGCTTTAATGTGTATGATTTCACATTTTGACAAATCGAGTTGTATCCGATAAGCACAGCTTGGAAACAAAACGCTATTCTGTTCCGAAGACGATGTATATCGTCATTTGACCGACAAATTAATAGCATTTGGCTATTTTTACGTATATGTAGGTATACGTGTATATCTTCATCATTTAGCCGGGACCACTTTAGCGATGCGAAATCTTCGCAAAGCTACTTATATTACTCCTGTACATTAAGAGAATCTTTAATGTTTGAACGTCTTAATGCGCACTGTGACTATCGACAGTTTTAGTAATACTAATGATCAGTAGATACTAAAAATATTCATTAGTCATTTACATGATGGACTGTGTAGGCATTATTGTAAAAATTCGTTACATGATTATTTATTTGGGTTTGGACTGTCTAGTGCATTGCCGCATTTAGTTTCGCATTTACACAGCGAGATAAAATTAACAAATTTGACACGAGTTTCAGTACAGTGAACCCCTGCGACGCTATACCACCACGGTGCGACTATTTACCGGGAATACGGTCGTTCACAACGAAAATCCAAGGTCCTCTTATATATTGCGATACCTAATTTATTTGCTTGGTGTCCCGATTCTGGTCGAGCCCGGCGTCCCATCCAGGAGAATGCTTGTTGGCTCTTGATTTCTGAGTGCCTCCGGGACAGTAATGATATGTCTGCACGGTGCATAGTGGATCGTTGATAATAGCTGCTTTGTAATAGGCTTAAATTTTTGTTAAATGAATGAATGAATGTCAGTCATTTAGATGCCCGGTGGATACCCTCTTATAGTAAAGTGGGCGACAAAATAAAAACGCACGATGTGCGTATTGTGTAGCAGGCGTGAAAGGACGCAAAATTTTCCGAGTTGACAATATCATTGTTGTTATGAATGGTTGTATTGCGTAAGCTATATAAATACGGGTTTTGAGATGCCCGTGAAGTCTGTTTTGCTAAGATGCATTATCTAATTCACAAGAAGGCAACAATGAACGGATACATCTAACGTTTTTGAAATAACAAACGATGTTTTCCAGTTGCTTAGTCACGCGTCCGGTGTCTACTCTTTTTGAATGCTCCAAGCGACCTCCAAGTTTGGGAGCTGAAACGTCGTTTGATTTTAATACGGTTGAAAACGTAGCTACTGGCCTTTGTTGCATTGTTTGTGAAGTACTCAAAATAAACATTCAAAACATTTTTAAAATAGGTGTTTGGATATGCCATGCAGAAGGTTGATTGCTTACGTATTTGATAGCCTAAGAGAATCAACGTCTTTGAGTTCGAAAAAAATAGTTTGAGGTATTCTCCTACAAACTAGTTTAACCCTTCGCTTAATTAGGATTTGCCGATTCGTGATTTTAGAACAGGGGACGAATGTACGAAGATATTGGAGAACGTCACTGCTCCCATACGGCATTTATGCGCCAAAAAGATGATGAATTTAATCGTCCAATGCATGAATTCGCCGAACGAGGGTGGCGTCGATAACGTCGGAGACGATACTGGATTCTTAGCGGGCTTAATTTCAGGAATCTATCCCGGTGAGTTTATTTCGTTCATTGTGGGTGTAGCCAAAAATTTAAATGCATGAAATGAATGATATGATAAAATTTCTCTAAACCTGCTCTCTTCACGAGTTTGCATCGTATATAATATTAACTTAGGCGTACAACTTAGGCGTATACGAAGATGTCGAAACACATAAGTCTGTATCATCATCGCCTAAAGAGCTCATCGGTGATGGCGAATTCTGTTTAGTGTTTCAATTGCCATTCATGTGAACTGGTTCAACCTGTATAGTTCCGGATGAATATACGACTAGGTTTACGACGCTACTGTTGAAGCACGGTCTGTTTGTTTTCGTTGAATTCGCACGTATGTATGCTCGAAGCAAATGCTCGAAAGCTGTGATCGTATGGTCGAGTTGTTCCGCCGCCGTTGGCGGCTATCGCCGCTCCCAACGAAAACCGAGTCAACTAACGTTTTTTTTTTGATTCGGCCTAGTCTGTTTTTGCTCCAAGATACACACTATGGCGCATTATGGACTTGTTCTCATATACAGCCTCTAACGGCTCATTCCTTGCGGTTGTTTAGATAACTACTCGTGTTCTTGGCGCTACGCTCTGCTGCAAAAGAGTATTCACAGACAAGCATATTAACCTCTTGCTACCCTGCCGAGGCGTCGAACGGCAGTGAATCCACCGGTCGGATGATACTACTGTGCTTTTTAAGCTACTCTCCGCCGTCGCTACTTAACTGCAGTATGAGCAGATATCAAAACATCGACTAGCGCGGACTGATCCATGCGCCAGCCAGCAGTCCGACCGACCAGTCTAACCGTTTTCATCAGACATGTCTATGCTTGTGCCTCTATGCATAGGTATGTGTAAATACGCCATCCGTGTACCTGTCAGATGTCTTTCAATATAGGTGACACGGCAAGGCTTTGGGATGACTTTTTTCCGGCAATTCGTCGTTATTTTTGTTACCTTCATACGATACGACAGCCCGGCAATTCGTCGTTGTTTTTGTTACCTTTACACGATACGACAGTCGGCAAATGTTTATACGATACGACAGCTGGCAAATGACCAGCAGTATGTAGATAAAAACAGGGGGACTTTCTGATGACAGCTTGTTATCTCCAACGAAGATAACTGACTATATGTTGTACTGAGGCACAACCAATTCCGCATCACAAGACATACATTTAGATCTTCTAGTCTACTGTGCTATTTGTAATACTAGCTACAACTATGAGAACGCTAAGTTGAGGTTTATTATTTATTTATTTAGCTAATACATATCATATATTAGGTTAATAAGTAGGAACCATGGAGATGACGTTTAAAGATGGTGTTTTTTTTGCGGTCTCTAACTGCCACGCTAGGGTTGATAGCAACTCGGTCTGCGGAGTGTGACTATGGACATTGACTTTTTTTTTTATATAATACCTTAATACCACACTTAACTGAAAACTTACAATCTCGATCAAGAACTTTACTGTGATGAATTTGCTCAATGGAGCTTACCTTTTAGTAGACAATGGTATGTATATTAAGTGATTAGCCATAGCTATTGGAAGCTTGATTCGGCCATCTTCAGACGATGTTCTCATCTGATTCAATCACAAAACGGTTTGTGAATACGTTTGTAACAAACGTATTTTTGTCGTTTGTGTCATATGTTTTGTGTTACTCCTAACACCTGGGCATCGTATACGTTCCTATCTACTACCGTGTTCTGCTGATTGTCGCTTATTGTGCAAATGGCATTAGAGCTTCAAATATCCACTAACTGCGTTTATACCATTTGTCAACCTATTACGTATTATTACCAGTTACTCTCTTCAATGGCATCCTGTTAAGTGCCCGTTGTACATCGTGGTGGACGGGTCGATGTTAGAGGAAACGTTAGATGGCCACACTGCCAGATCTGCCTTTTACCTGTAAGTACGGTTAGCGTGATCGAAAATGTGTTCTTGCAAGATTTTCAAACCTTACTTTATCCGTCTCCATCTTGTCACTTCGGCGACTCACATACGCAATTTGAGCCACATATGATACGATCCGGAATAAAATGAAGTATCCGTTGTACAATAACTCAACGGGCACAGTCAATTCAGCAGAATAAAGGATGAACGAAAAATCCGTTGTTGCTTTAATTTGATAGTGTCCTTTTGGTGAGTCTATCCATTGTAGACCTCTTTTATTTAACATTTAAGTGGATTCCTTAGTCTGTTATCCTGTGAACATATAGATAAACATGTTTACATGAGAGGTCATGAAAATCACTAGTGAACACAAGTCCGGTAGATGAAGTTTTATACGTCTTCATGCAGGGTAGTCTATGGGAAATGTGAGGACTGACTTATCCGTAGCTCCAGTAGCCCCTTCGGTTCATTGTTGGACTCGTAAGAACGTCGGCATCCCATCAGTTAATCTTACGGGTTAATTCAATCGTAAGTAAAAGGCAACATAATTACATCTTATACTCAGCAACTCTTGATAGATGTACTTGTTCTTCTGCACTGTGGCGGCTATCCTTTAGGGTGACGATTGAGCCTGAACTAACGCCGGTCAAAGGCATGTTCTTTCATTCCTTCGTAAGAGCGGACGATGCCATAAGCTTGAATGGGATTAGGACAAGTCGATTTATTAAGTGAGCAGAGAAGACCTTTCATATCAGTTCGGACCAGTTCATGTGGAAAAACTGTTTTTTTAGGCAGTTGTGACAGTAATCCTTTCTGCTAAACAGGATTGTTCAAGATTTGCACAGGCAAGTTTTCTATTTGGTTTATTGTTACATTTGGATAGCAAGATTCTACTCTAGTCAACACTAGAACTACAATACACAAAGCCCGTAACGGGTATCAATAACAACAGGAGAAGAAAAATGGGAAAAAAATAACGTGACTCTTTTTTCCGACGATATATTTGGGAAAAAGAACGATGTGATTCGAATACATCGACGAACCTACGTACGAAACAAATATACAGCATCGGCCTTTTCTATGAACATACATTTACAAATATAATAGGCAATATTTTTGCTACTGATTAAATACGCCAGTGAACGCCGATATTTTCATTCAAAAGACGTAACCTTTCATATTTATAATATTACTACATACTAATCTCGAATTCCTAGTTTGCAAATTTTTAAGCGTGTCAATAGATGCATCGTGAATAATTAGATCCTTATGTGAAAGAATATTCTCGCAATTATATTTTATTTACAATTGTATTATTAATAGTTGCTATTCTGTTCGTTGCATGATTGTATATGGAATGATCTTAACAGAAACCATGTGTTTTTGTCGTTGTCTCTCGAATGCTATCTTTTTCCCCAAGATTGCTCCTTAATTGTCAATAAATTCGCACACACAGAATAAAAATGGATAGTTACGTGTTGTGCGTACGTATGCGTTTTAGAAGAACTGGCCGGCAATGATGTCGCCGTATGGTAACTCCATAAACAATCGCACTCGAGGCCTCAACTCAGAGGTGAATGTCATGGACGAATCATCGCTGGGTGGGTCAGACTCTATACTTGACAAACGAGTCATTCTTGCTTATTGAACAGAGAGTAAACGCAGGTCATCTTTACGAATAACAAACGCCACTCCGTTTTTCTAGTAAATCTGAATACAGTGTGGCCAATAAGCCTTTATTAAAGTAAACTAAAATGGCTAGCTTACAACTGAGAAAGTTGTTTTGTTGGGCACCCTCGGGAATCCCTGTCCATTGACGAGACCGCTACTGTGCTTGGACATATTAAACGTGCTGTCAAAACATTTTGTTTCGATGAGGTGGTTATTACAGGACTGGAACATAAATGCTTCTGTATATCTCACACAGTTATTTTATTGTCTAAATGCGGGGTATTTTTTTTTATATATGCAGGGTCAAACAATATTTTCATGTCGCGTTTGGGATACTCCTCGGTGCCTCTGACCTTATGAATTGCATTCTAATGACGTCTAATTCTATCCGCAGGTACAAAATGGTGTGGTGCTGGGCATAGAGCGAAAAATTATTTCGATCTCGGCTTAGAGGTGGAACTCGACAAATGTTGCAGAGCTCACGACCATTGCCCCATTAAAGTTCGTTGCCTTCTCAGCCCTTTATGTACTGTTTTAACAATATTTAACGGCTTGCCTACTCTTTACGAAATTAGCTGGAATCATCTTTAGTCTATTCCAGGATAGCTGATCGCCACCTCTAAATAGCATAAGCCGACCGGTATTGGTAAATCAATATAAAAAATGCTAGTCACTATATTATTCAACAGGTCGGACCATGGGCTCTTGGTTTTGGAGGACGCAACTGGGCTTTCTATACGATATCACATTGCGACTGTGATACTGACTTCTTCAACTGCCTCGCTGAAGTTGATAATCAAGCGGCTGATACTATCGGAGTATTGTACTTCAATACAATGAAAGTACCCTGCCTTCGCGAAAGTCCACAAGTAAAGCTTTGCCCACCAGCAACGTAAGTCGTTATGGCATACAACAGACATGACAAACGGCGGGCCAAAAAGTACCAACCGTTATTTGTTCATTGCCCTAATTAGCTTAGGAGTCCATAGCAATCACGAAATTTAGGGGTAACATAACTATTTCGAATACTTTTTAAAACAACAAGCGATTTTTTGGCATTTTTTGGCTTTACGAAGGATCGAACAAAGAACCCATGTGAAACTCTCTATTGATTTCTGTACATCTTTTTCTGTTATAGGTCAAGCGAACGATGTCCGACGGCTCATTTGCAAGACATGCTAGTGCTTAATTCATTTCAACCAGAATATGTATTTTATGAGAAAAACCGTACCAGGCCGCGATGATCATATAAAGCGCAGTTCTTCGGTGATCTGATAATACCTAATAAATTATCCGTACGGCATAAGCTACTAACTGGTCGGATAAATAGATTTTAGAGAAACCTTGTGTTTGGTAGACGCTTCAAGGAACCATTATATCACCTTCGCTGTCAAGTCATATCTATAATGCGAACAATTTTAGTAAGACAGAATCCCTCAATCATTTGAAGACACCATGGAAATAACCATAGAATCAAGGCAAAGCGGTTTGCAACAAAGTAAAGCAACTACTTATCAGCGTAATGCGTCGTCGACGCCCGATTTGCAGTAATATTGCGGTAAATATACACGTTGTTATACAGAGAAGGAACTGTCACATTAACATTTGAATTTCTTCAACCCATATAAGCCACGAAGCGTTTTAACAGCTTACTTTCTTAAGCCTGGAGGACAAATATGTTGGTTTTTTAGATCATCTATTTATAGGGCAGGAAATTTAAATAGCATTTTATTTTTCTTTTTTTGTTACTTACTCAGATTCTACCTAAGGCTACATCTAAACAGTTTGGAGCAGCCTATCTTACATTTGCTAGAATACAGTCATGTTTACTCAATATAATGCGCCATCCACAGTTTTCTTTTGTGAGTGTACCTGTGCCTCTTTGGTGGAGGCACGAGTGAGCGAGTCGATGTTGTCATTCGGAAATCTGTTAGACTCATAAATGCTCTGTACATGAATCTCCAGCAACGGATGTAAATATGCGCCGTTTTGTGGCCATATATGCTCACTCCATACACCACCACGCACACCATGGCAATAAAGCCAGTCCTCCTCTATCCATATAGAATAAGCCGATTTGCTGAGAAACGTATGGCCTCTTTTTAGATACTTTAGCTGTCCATGGTTGCATGATTTTTATAACTGCAGATGTAGCTTCGTTGGCGTTTTGGGAATATGGTATCATGATGTATATTTCACTAGTTATCACACAAACCACACAAACAACAAAGCTAAGTTTGCTTTTCCTCACAATAAGCATATACCTATGGGATTGTGAGCACGCCGGAAATTATTTCTGCGATTATTTTTTGCATCGATAGGGAATCCCTATGTTACTGTCCGAAAAGAACCGAAGACAACCTGCTGCTTGCTCTTCGCGAAAATTGTTAAGTTGACGTAAACGACACGGATCACGTAATTGGTTTTATTGTCTTCAGAAAAAATCTGTCTTACTTCTATGACACATGGCATGTACTTAAGCCTTCATGAACAATCCGTAACGTTGTACGTCTACTTATATCAGATATTAACGACCTGATCGTAATAAAAGGATCATTCGAAGTGTAATTTCAAACGACACCCGTGTACCCTGAGATCCTCGCTGTTTTTTTTTACCTCAATCACGGATTTTTTATTTTGCTTTGTTGTAATCGGCTTTTGCTTCTTCTGCAGTCGTATTTATCATTGGCGAAGCGGTGCCTTTTTATCAGTCTGGAGTAAGCCAAAACGTTCACACTTCGCCCAGCATGAAGATATTTGATAATAGTTGACCTTCGCTGAAATTCCGAGACCGACGTACTGTTTCACATATTTATTTTAAAAAACAACTGGTTTAGCGGCAAGAATAGCAGATGAACGCATGCGTGCAACGACAACGAGCCCGCTAAAGCTTGGATACCGCACCACGAACATTTCATTAGAACTGTGTGCGATTCTCCTTCCAGATCAGCTGGTGTATGAAAACAAAGCTGCGAATTAATCTAGAGCTGACCAAACATTGGTAGAGAATTTTTATTTTTATTATAATTGCTAGTTGCCATCCTTTCGAAAGCGCGTAAAGTTGAGTATGTATGTTAGGAGGATAGTTACAGTCTCGTTTTTCATTGTACTAACCGGTCCAAAACCCACGTATTAATTTGACAGCTCGAATAAGTAATTGTGCATAGATTACGCAGAAGGAGTAGAGGACGATGAGCAGTCATCGCAATTATCCATTTGGATATGTACTAGTGACATGTTAATACGTGGCACATATGGCAAGGAATCCAGTAGCTACTGTAGTGTGGTCAATTAGAACTAACCTTACTCTCTCCAACATCCAATAAAAGACGTGTAATGGCAATTTTATTTCAATACCTACTAGACAAATACAAGAACTAGTCACGTGATACATTTAAATACACATGCCACTCCTTTATATTATACAATTCTTCTATTACATATCTGCTTGGTCTGCAAGTATACTAACCTTGCTTTTGTGATAACCAATTCTCCAGCATGATTGATGTATTGATTTGACTCTTGATTGTAGTTATTGTGTTTTATATGTCTAGTTTTGTCCCAATTTTCAAGGTTGCTTTCTTAGTCAACTCCGTTGCGAAAATCACGACTGGTTCCCGACAGCTTCCGTTTAACAGAAGCTTTTAAGTTTAGAATATGTACGGCTTCTCACGCATTTCACACGCCGTTTACGTAACCATCGCTAATCACAGTAACCCTCATGCACTGCAAGAATCCACAATTGGCGTTACCATCTGCACATGAGATTGAAGATATTGTTTTTCCTAAAACAGCATTCCCTATTCAAAAGTATTATCCACATTCTACTTATTCTATTCTTAAAACATTTTTTTTTAAAACATGTTTTGAACAATTCATTGGAAAAATGCACGATCTCCTCCATACCAACTAAAGACGAGATCTACTGGAGCAACAGCTACCAGCAGTGAGGGATATCAAAGTGTTTACACGCCCGATGGTGGCTTATTGCCGCTGTTTTGTGATGGTGTAGCTCGCGCCGGTCTGGCGCCGTCCTCCGCCTCGGCGTCCTCTCCTTTCGAGGGAGAAGCGTTGTTCCTTTCTCCTGGAGTATCTTCGTCAATTACATCGACATCTTCATCATCTTCGACATCAACATCGCGTCTAGACGGAGTAACTTCGGTCGTTTGTGGGGCAGCTGTTGGAACCTGTGGCAATGTGGCCTCAGTGGTTGTTCTATGCTGGTAATGGTTATCGATAGGTGTCTCATCGGCAGGCAGTCCGTAATCGTCAACCATGTCTTGCACGTGACAAACAATGGAACTTTCAACGGTCAACGTGTATTCGCATGGTCTTGGCTCTTGAAGAAAGATGCTCACCGCATCCGGATGGCCCTTAATGGATTTGCAACTAAAACAGCACAGTGATAATACCATGCCAAAAGCATATCGAAAAAAAGTTAGTGCGTAACGTCATACGTAAACACGATATTTAGTAAAATATGACTTGCATTAAATGTACCGACTATCGAAATTTCGTGACGGTTCATATTTAAATATTTTAATATTCGGCAGTAGAACATTTTAAATGCCTTCGAAAAGTCAGTGTGAGATCCCGTGTAGTATACTCGCGTAGTAACTGGAACTTTGCCGTTCTTTATTGATGCTTATAAAGACTAAAGTCGTACTTACATCAGTTTAACTTTAACTGTTCTAGGTATCCTTGTCACTTCGCAGATGTCGCCTTCACTATAGAAATGGGTCACAGAGTTGATGCCAACAGCTACCTTTTTCGACGGGTTTGCGTCTACCCAGGCCTGAAAATTAACAGAAATGTGTACAAAAATGCAATAAAGATCAAACACAAACTTACTGAAAATACTGTCATAACCGCCGATTTTTAATAAATTTGCTATATAGATAGTTTGAGATTCGGCCATTTTCTTAGAAGTCGATATAGAATCGAATAGTTGACGAAAAATTTTCTTCCTTGCATTTTTACCTTTATTAGTGTATAATGTATATGATATCGTTCCTGTGTTCAGCCTTATGGCGGGATTTCCGGAATGCGTACGAAGCATTGCAAGTGATGCAAGATTAAACAACTTACGAAAACTATTATTGTTACAAATATATTACTCACAGACGCAACACAAGAAAAAATGTTAGAAAGATCTAATAAACCAACCCGATGGTTTCGCTGATTCCAACGTCCTAGTAGAATTTCTTGGGTACGTTTCCCTTTTTCAACGTGGAATTGGCTCACCCGTTTGCCATAACAAAATTCATATTTCCACCAACCTGTACCCTATAAATACAGCACACTCCACAGTCAATATAATATAGCAGTACATGATCATTTTATGGGTACGCGCTCTTACAATATGGTGGCTATATATAATATGTATATAAACTGAAATGAACAAACAAATACGTAAACTAATACGTTATTTTGCATTTTGATTTACTCGTCATTTAGCACGGCAAAGCAAGTCTTCACAGCGTAAGCAACTTCAGAAAAAGTTGCTCGGAGATCTTGCTTACCCCTTGTAGGCAGTAGTCACCACTGAGAAAACGTTCAACGTGCCTCTGATCATGAGGTGGAGGGGTTTCCGGCCGGGGCTCGTCTTCCTGAGGTAAAAAAAAGATCTTCAACGTGCGCTGAAAACCAAAGGAAACCATTTTCAGCTGTGCAGGGATGGCTGGTTTCTTGCTACCAACCATCAATGGAAACTAGAACGCCAGAAGTTTTCGAACACACAATGCTAAACTTAAAGTGGATATCTGCAGAAGTAGCGTGCTTAGACTATTATGTAGAGAATATATCATGAAACTAAATTATTACCTATAGGCTAGCTACGCTATCCCTTCGCACCCCTTGAAATTCTGACTGTTGTCATGGTCCTCCTTATACAATTGGCCAAGTCAGTCGTCGCAGGCATGGAGGTAGCAGTTGTGTTACAGAGAACCAAAACTCGCTCAACTTTAGTAAAGTTGACGAATTGTTCACTCTTAACCAGTATCATTCCATCTACAAGAGACAATTCTCCTCGTACAACAGAACTTTTGTCTGTTAAAGTAAAATTAATTTCCAAGTTATAACAAAAACACTAAACGGTTTTTCCTGCACGCTTCTTTACCACGTAGCACCAACCTTAGCTTATTCATAGCTCATTCATTCAGAAAATGCGTCTCCCATAAAGGGTTTGGCAAAAAATTATAAACAGTGTACTTTATGAGGTATTATAAATTAATTTGGATCAATGCATGAAAATAGTAAGGTATTTTCAAAGCTAATGTGGATCTCGCGAAACTCCAACGATTAAAGAAAGGAATCTTGAAACTTTGCCTCTCTTAATTGTTTCCAAGATGGATAGATCATTTAAACTATGAGTAGCAGTGCAAAGACGCCTAACTTTTGTCTCTATCACATACGACTGCGAATACTGTTCTGTACTTCGGCGGTCAATCTGAAACTTTTCTGCCTTAGAAAGAGCATTATGCGGTTTACGGTAGTTCAAGATGTGAGCGCTGCTCTAGTTGACATACAAGAATTTTCATCAGTGTAGGCTCAGAACTTGCTGTGTCGTAATCGAAATCATATTTATGCTGTCAGGCGTCTACTTATACTTCACAAAATCGGCTAATTGAAAAGTCGCGATGTAATTTTTACAACAATGGTGTTGATGTTTAAAAGTATAATAAAGTAACAAATATATTTCCTAGATAATGTTTAAGCAGACTTCATCGAACAAAAGTATTGAAAAATGCTTTTTTACAGAAATTTTATAGACTACAATTCAATTTCGGCTAGAATACGGTAATTATTATTATTAAACGGCTTAGTCTTATTGTCTCTTAAGGTCATATGACGAGATGGTTGGTCATTTAATGAAGGATGAAAATATTAGTGGGACTACATTTAGAGTGAGAAAAGGCTCAGAACAGCGTACGACGGATCCACTCTAATTGGATCCCTTATACTTCTCTTATCTTTGCACATTTAACTTAAAAGCCTATTTAACTCCCTATTTTCTACTTTCTCAAAATATGACACTCATTTGAAAGCTGTGCAGAAACGATGTACTCTTTGAGCATTGATAAATGAATGGCTAAAGAGAACTTCGCTTTAAATGGAAAACACAGCTTTTTATTAAAAAAACTATCGAGACATATACGCATGTAGAGAACATGTAATATTTTAGTTTTTTGGTTAGGTTAAATGAACACATTTTTCCGAAAACTGAGTCTAGCAACGCAGATATCATCAGCAAGTATAACATAAATCACGCATCTGGATTCAGGCATCCGTGCAAAAGATATTTCACGAAGATTTTTGTGGGAACGATTTCGTGCGTAAGTACCAAATCTTTTACCATGTAGTCCTCCTAAGTGGGGGGAAAAGGGGTAAATGAAGCAAAGACAAGGAGCTAATTTCAGTTTTCTTAAACTAAAAATGGAGAGTCCATATGAACTGGCACCAGAAAGTATCTCCACACAGAGTAAGAAGTTCTTGCGCAAAAAAATCATAAATTGATTATTAAGGAAATGCGAAGGCGAATTTTGTACGCAAGCCATACGAAGCCCTTCGTGGAGACAAGCGGATAGGCGTTACAGATAGTGACAAAGCAATTTCGGATCCATAAACCGAAAAATTTATAGGTCGGTATATTTAGTATACAATTATTTATTTAATAAACGTTTAGGTGATCGCTCGCTGATACTATGAAGTGACCAAGACAACATTTGTAAACTCAATTTGAAAGCTTTTTAATGCTGTCCGAATATCGCCGGGTATCACCATGATATCAACGGCCGGCAAGCCCCTACATGTATATCTTTACGAGTGACTATCGAGTATGGCCATTTGATGGTATCTATTGTGACACTGCTTCAAAGGTTAAAACGTACCTCCTAATGCATATATATAGAGGATCATTGTAATGAAACTGCAAACGATCGTTGCGATTGAACAAGAGAAAACTTTAAGCCATATTTTTGAAAATGGCGCTATCGAAATGCGACTTATAGTACTCCGCTGCTCGGCAGAAGCACTTTTATTTTGGTTAATTTCTACAATACGGTTATGGCTAATTTTCGTGCTAGTTTTGAAGCTTCTTCGTTCAACCATTTGGGTATTGCTTTGCTATGTTCGTAACAGATACAGAACGATTTACAACGCCCTAAGAAGAAGCTCAAGGAAAACCGAAAGAATAAAATTACGCTATTTTGGTTGGTTTGAATTGAGATATGACCTTTCCAAGTCTACAGTCCTCACGAGACTGAAAAGTGGTCCAACACACAAAGTTTAGGATAAAGCGAATCGATACCGAAAATAGGAGTGATCCACAAGCTGATTTAAGACATCAGTAAAAGCTTACCTTAAGTTCGTCATCGTATATCTAAAACTCAATCAAGAATCAACGTACAGCTCGATACAGATATAGCAACAAAATTCGACTCCTCGATAAAAAGAACACGAGAAAATTGCCAGCATAAATGTAATTTTTTTTTCACTGAAACTAATTTTTCTCGTTTTTTCCTGTTCTATTTAATAAAAACAGAATACTAACGTTCCGCTACTTTGTAGTAAGTGTGATTGTTGTAAACAATTGTATCAATAATCACCATCCAATAAACGCTTAAATATTTAAGTCACTTATCGCCATTTAAACCTGTGTATAAAAATGTCGAATTTTATGCTATGGTATGTAACAATATTTTGTATCACACTGTGACCGCACAAACGAAGAATCACAATAACCATTTGTTTAACATTTAATAATAGTATTTATTCATCACCTTTACACAACACGTACACTACTATTTACATACATGTAAATGTGTATAAAACTACCCGCAATAAGATGAATTACATATACTGGTCCAAAGATATAGGTTCTTGTAAAAAATCTATTATAAATACTTCAATATTTACTATGGCTGTAAAATTTACAATAAATGAATAACTGGTACAAATCACCGACCTTTATAATTAAGTAACTAGAACGAAAACTTGACCTTTGGAGCATATATAAATTGAAACTAGGTATTTATTTTATGTCATCAGGTCTTTGAGCTGCTTATATTTTTTATAAGAAGCTAAGATGTAAACGCATTTGTGAAATTACTGGAATGCAATATTTATTTACAAGTAAGTTAAACTTAATGGGCACAGGATCAATATTAGGCAATAATGATCCTGTAGCGAATTTTAGGTCCATTTCGACGGCGTTTCTGAAAGTTGAAACGAAAAGCGGCACTCTAGAAGTCTAGCCATTTGATCTGCCATAGAATAAAATAACAACTTTAATATTTGCCTCCTTGCAGTTGATAACTCTTGTTAGAAGAACCAGTTTTCAGGTCCTACGATAAAAACAGCATAACTTAGAATACAGCCCGCAGAAAAACGAATTATCTGGCGCTATAAGCAATTCTTATCGCACCACGTCGTTTTTAATAAAAGAGGCAGATCTGAAGACATCTAAGTTTCGGGGAACTAAATTTTCTCAATTTACAAAGGTTCAGATCTAACAGGCGACCAAACGTCTACCTATAGGGAGTTAGTAGTGCTGAAGCGTACTGTGCAAGCCTGATGCGGACCAAATGCTACTGTTTCAAAATCCAAAGGAATCCCTTTATCCTTTTTAATTAAACAACAAATATTTTCAAACATTAGACAATCGTCTATATGACGACCGACCTAAGACCCTACCTTGTAAGCCTTAATCCATCTGACGACAAGTCACTAATAGTGTAGACGATTTTATCAGGCAAGATATTTTTTCCTAAATGATTGAGCGTGTTCTTAGAATTGAGTATTATATCCACCTTGTAAATAGGCTTGCGTCAATAAATTTTTGAAAAACGGATTTTATGAAATATATTTCATGGAAAAGACACCCTGTGTTTTTAGTAGTCGACGTTTGTGCGGTCATGGTGAACAAATACAATACAATTAGACACAACAAACAGTACAAACGATACAACTGTTAATATGCAAAATAAGTGTAAATATAGTGTGCGGATACACGTACATATCTTTACCTTACAATGCATTAGTGTGTGAAAATATGCAGTTTATTTTTTCAAAATATTTACCTAATAATACTTTAAAGCGATCATGAATCGTTAGATTGCTATCGCCCACTACCTACACAAAATAGCACGTTTCACGTAGTCAAGTGAAAAAGAAAATCTGACACACATCATGCAATGTCTCGGAAAATTTCCTGTTGTAAATAAGCCAATTTTTTTCAAGAACAAATGGTGGTCGTAAAGCTTACGAAGCACAGTCCTTGTTTAATTTATAAGGCATTAACATATGTATGGACGTTATTGTAACTTCTTAGCAGACAAAACGTTTCTAGAGAAATATCGACCGAAATTTCAATGAGCTGTAGTTCCCAACCCTACCGGTTGCTGATCATACTATAACAACGAAGAAGGTTATAATAGTTACGGTTCCCAAAACCTAGGTTTATTACGCGAAATGGAGAGAAAAATATACCTAAAAGAGACACCGTACACTTAGAATTTCATGCATGTATACCTTAACATCATCTCCAAGACTCCCTCCATCTGACTCTTGTAAGGCACTCTCGCGAAATTCTTCGTTCTCTCGGACCATTTCCCTAAGTCTCTGGGGCTCATTTGCATTCGTCGAACCTTCCGCCTTCAAGCACAAAGAAACGTAATTAGTGACATGGCCTACTCATTAATGAGACGCTTGAGGGCAATCTATTTCTAGCTATCAGATCATTCAAAACAGAGAAGTTGGCTGGGAACAATCGATCAATATGATAAGCGTAATTAGCAAGTTGTAATGTTACTAGTTTCTCGAACTTTGTTATAGTCATTCCTGTTTCTATATCGTATAGAAAACTGGTCATTAAGTTTTGCTGTTGTTCTTTACATAAAACCTGCCTATTCTGGTATTGTTTTTTCATACATGTATTTCATAACCTTCGCATATTTTCACAATTTTCGGCGACTCTAAAATATATGTCCAGGCGCCATTCTTACCAATGGTCGGCCGGAACTTTCTTTAATGGAAGAGGCTGGCGTTGCCTTACACGATCCTTGCGGACTGTTACCAGTGAGAATCTGTCCATTGTCGCTACTGCTCACAGGTCCACAGCTCTCGTCATTCTCGCCGCTTACATTCGTAAAGCGTTCGGTACCATCTTCAGCGTCAGAGGCAGCTGCATCGGCGATTGGTTCTTGTTGTTGCAGTTTACTATCGAGCTTGATTTCAGGATGACAGGAAATCTCATTCTCTGGAGCCACTTCCACTCTATAGATATGGAAAGAACCGAAACTCTATTACAAAAACTTCACTTCTTTTTTTTGGATCCTTCAAGAACGAGGGCTCACAAAAGGATTAGTATCGAGGCTATGCACATTTGGAAACTATAGGACGATGGTACACGAAACATACGTATAATCTATTAAGAAACATCTGGTCTCTTTGAGTCCTCAAAACTACATTAGATAGCAGTCATAACAGGCACCGTGTATGATGCGCGGGACGTTGACTTAAAAGTAAATGGCCTAAAAAATCGGGATAAAACGTAATTCAAAAACGTTTCTCACCTATAATCAGGATGTTTGCATAGGTAAGGCGTTCTGACGACGACTCTGTACGTACAGGACGCAGGCTCCTCAAACGAGTGCACGTCGTGGTCACTCATCTGGTCACAAACGTACCACACCTACAGAAAAAAACGAAATCACAAACATGCATTTACAAATCATTACTGATCGACGAATAATAATTACGACTGATGACCCGATGATGGTTTAGTAGAATGTGCTTTTATCTTCTTTAGCTAATATCTCATCCGAAATCAATCGTTTAATAAAAAAAAAAAGCATTCGAACCAATTCCAGTAAACGATTTTTACGATGACAGACTGCTGCGTTCTCACTGGAACTAGCGGTTACATAAAAAAAATAAGTCGAGGTATGCGCTAGTTCAACTTACCTGCGTATTGCGCGGGCGTTGATTAATATCACAAAGCGTACCATATGACATATTAACAGCAAAATAAGGGTGATCGACTCCGTCAATTTTAACAGTCGGTGCTCTCGAAAGCGTTGGAGTTTTAAGACGCTCTGCAAATTCTGCCTTGTACTTTTCATCTATAATACGAATGTGCATAAATACATAGGTGTTAACGCTTAAATTACATTTTTGGCGTAACTTTCTTTACTGAGATAATCGCGCGTATAGCAGATTTACACGCGGGCTTGCTCTGCACCTTGATTTTCCGTGTCGTAAACAATCTGAACGTTACAAACAAATTTACAAGTGAGCACCAAATTTTATTAACAAATAATTTAAGATAATAAGAATACTGAGTAGCGAAAGTACCTTTGTCTTATAGTTTCACGCGTATGACAACTTAGGTGCGAATCACCCCAATAACAAATACTGTAAAAACAATACCTAACATATTTACTCTCAGGCTGTATTCGGTCCAACATCAACTCATTTATTGTTTGTCTATTCCTTCACCTCTATTTGGTTTTTTTTTTATTGAATTGACAGAAACCACGTGAAAGATCATAGTTTTCATAGATGCTTTCGTTGAACCTATTTTTATATAGTTTATTACAAACTGCTTTCAGTGCCCGTACAAATGAGATAGAGTGCCAACGTAATGTGCAACGTCATACTTACTGTCGGCCTTCATCATATCGAGATCGTACTTTCCGAGGTAGAACTCAACGATATGCACTTTTGTACTCGTGGTATCCTCGTGGTATTGTCGAAGTGATTTCCCGTGACACAGCTGGTACGTCCAGTAATGATCCAACTTGGCAGAAAAGGCAGATCGTTAGCGCGAAGGGTAAATTATAAAATACGAGTAGCAAACGAAAAAAAATCATGTTAACGCTTACTTAAGAAGCGGAAAAAATGTATCTTTATTCGAATACATACATCATCTAATACAACGACTTGTATCAATTATAGTATAGGCGAGAAAGTCGACGTGGACTTTAACGCTTCCCATTGTATTTAACTGCGTATAATAAAGCTCTATAAACGAATATCAATTAACGAACTTTAACATTTTCTAACCATCTGACGCACAGCTTTACATAATTCATTAGTGATAGATTAAAGCAACACAGAATCCACCACTTACTTGCTGTCTATTTCCACGCTTCATACGATCGTTTCGGTCTATAGTTTTGTTCTAGTTACAAAGAAAACTTGTTTATACTAATGGCAGATTTTAGTCCATAATACACATGGTACCTTGTATCTGCACACGCGGTTTGCGAGCAGCGGTTCAAGTAGCTCAAGTGGTGTGGGACCATTGTAATTTCGGGTGGTTGCTTCACTTGCCTTTACTTCGAGATGCCGTGGCACAAAGCATACATAGGGTTCCTTGTCCGAGCTCATCATACGAATCATATCGTGATTCTGTAAGAAATCAAACATGTACACTCACATAAATTCAACTCATTTCTAAATAAATTATTTAATAAAACAGAAGTTGTCTAAGTATCAATAAGCAATTCGGACGTATGTTCAAATTTCCTACGTAATTTATACTCGTACATTTTGATGGGTCCCCTGCCTTTCACTGTAGACACATCGACAGACTTCTAAAACAAACCTGAAATTCCCGGGGTAGTGGATCCAGTGTGGGTAGAGGATTTTTCCATCTCATCTTAAATAGTATCGAATCATCCACGCCTTCAACATTGCCTGCATGAGCTCCAACTTGGAATAGACACCACAATAGGGAAATGAGGACACTGTTTCCAATTAAGGACCACACTCCATCTTTTTGCAGTAGTTTACTCGCAGTCCTTACACTGCAATCTCTGCTGTTGTTACTCAAATTATTGCAATTGCGTTGGTTCTGCATTACCATCTGAAATTAGGTAAAAACATAATGAATTAGAATTTGTGCAAAATCTAATGCACTAGCACCCGGCATGATTTTAACTGACGACCCTCCTGATCATACTCGATCATTGAGAAATAACAAAATATGAATCCTTTTTAAGATTAATACCATTCAAGTCGTACTACGATTTCCATGAATATATGATTTACAAATACACATAATGGAAGCACTACCGTATCGAAACACACAGTAACTGATTAATATCCACCACAGAACAGAGGTTTTGACCCATAAAAAAATAAAAAAAAATTAACGAGATATTAATAATGACATACTCAACGTTTCTTTATTAATTTAACTCGGCCATTATTCTTCAGTACCTATATTTCCCGCTGATAAGTATCAAGTACGTTGCAGTAAAAATCAGTGAATTACCAAAAAGTTAACACTTGGGCCTTCAAATATAGTATGAACGAGCTATAATGCAGGATCATTAAACTGTTTAATATCGACCAATAAGTAGGGCAAATCATAGAGTAAATAGTTTATTATTGTTACTTTTTATTAAGAAAAAAAAAAACGTAACACTGGAGTAATATAGAATCCCGCATTTTTCAGTAAAATTAACAAGGAACCTTTTGGATCCCAGATTCACATTCTCGCATATATTTGATCATTATTATTACTATTTATACCTCCACAAATATCTGCAAGGATCCAGTACTATTACTATTGTATTGAAGTCAGAGATGCGCCGTTATTGCATTAGGGAAAATTATTAATTATGTTTAGCAAATGCCAAGACGTCCGCTTGTTGCTATTTTAATAACATAACAAACAGAATCGCATAGCTTACCATCTGCCATCTGGCGCTCACTTTGATGAGCTGATAATATAATATTTTATTTACTTTCATATAATTTTTATCATTCTTGACAGAAGTGGTTTAGCTTCGAAGAACAAATTTTTAATCAATTATCGAAATTGATCCATTTACCTCAATAAAGCATGGATGCACAGTAACTGCAAAGACGAAAGTAGTTTTTGTCTTGGATCCAGTCTCTTGTCAATGCTTTTGATACAAACGCTTTAAAAATCAATTTTTCAGAGAACTGCTTTCATGAATTTCATTACTATCGAACCCTTAGTAGAAAAACTAGTACAAATCTTCTTTAAACGTTTATTCTTAAACTACTACGCACCATTTACCTAATCAAAGTACTACCTGTCATGTATATGTGACATTTTTTTCTAAAATTGCAGCATTTCTTGTATCACTAATAGGTTGTACAGCTCTATCAAAGCGCGTAGACATTTTAGGAACTTATATTGAACTGAAAAAATGAAAAACCAGTAAAATGTTTGAAATTCTGTCTTTTATAGAAAGATGAATTCATATATATTTTTAAAGTAGGTTCAGTACTATTTCAAGTTGGTAGCTGTTAAAGACGCGTGAGTGGTACCTTGGAATTTATAATATCGGTGGCTTATATATTGGAAAGATATTTTTATATAATAAGCAGAAAATTAGTGCACATTGTAACCAAATATTTTAGGCGCGATAAAAATAGTCGGAATTCGTAAATGTTTTTACAAAGTGAATACGACAAAGAGCGCCTTTCTTTCCTTTAGTGCGATGAAATATGATAATTGTGAGATATTTTTGCTTACGTTTCCCGTAAAAAACATAGCGTATTCTTTAATCTTGAGCAACATTAAATGGGTTCGACCATATTCCATTAAAAACCTCCTACATATTTCTATATAGTTTTCATAAATAGTTCATCATTACTGCTACTAGACTAAAATACCATTTTCCACTTGCGTAATACAAGCGGGCACAGTTCGCAAAAAGTATCTAGGTTTTGTATCCTCATCTTTTTTATATAACGACTTCACGCGAGATATTGTGATATCAGACTACAACCCATTAACACTGCAATTACTCGTGTAACTTTTTTCGCCAATATCCACCCCAAAATCTCATTATATTAAGTTTGACTGTGATCTTTCGATAAACATCTGATCAAAGTTCTCCTACCTTTGGTAGTTGAACAATCGAAGTAAGTGACTAGATACTTGGGCGCCGCATTCGCATTCGTTTCTCACTTCACTATGGCCAGTATTACATGAGTACTTCGACACCGCAGTGTTGGCTTTTAGACACAGGGATTGTTACTTAATCTGACGTGGACTTTATGAAGGGCTCTCAGCAAAACACTGACCACACTGCAGCAGGTTGTTTTTTTCACACTTCTCCTGTATCCACTAAACAATCATATATTGCCTACAATTCTCCTTCCGACAATTGTCAACAACTAGTAGAATGATTATGAATGGAACCTGTCGTATAGGCACGTGGCACTGCTTAGAAATTTGAATGTTCCGTTTTCAGTTGAAGCTATCATTGCCATCAAATGGTAAGACAACACACCCCACATTTTTCTATAAAATTCTGTAAAAACCCTTTACTGCTTTTTTAGAAGCGCTCCACTAAAAAATTTTTAAATAAATAGGTTATACTTTTCGCTGTGTAACAACATCTATGCATAACCGATAAGGTTCAAACGCGTTTAATTTTGTCTGCTTTTGGTAATCTACATAGAAGTACGCAGTGGACAGTGCTCACTTTTCGAAAATTTCGAAGTTCAGCTTTTCCTCCTCGATTTTCGGGACCTTGTCCGCGTCCAGTTGAGTTGCCGACAGTGCGATGTATATGCGAAAATAGATGCGCCCTTCTGTTGTAGTTCGTCGAGGACGAGACCTGAGTGAAACATGGCGTTTGCAGGAGCGCGAAATTTTCTCGTAAAAGCGTTGCCAGCAAAGGGTGCCGTGGCCAACTTTCACACTGGACAATTCTGTGCCGCCGTTCTCACAAACCGTGACTGGAAACCTGGTCCCTACCCAAAGACGGGTAAGCGCCTAGTTCATGCATTAAAGGTCATCGGCGCTGAAAAAACTAAACATTATGCAGGGCTCTTTTTGATCAACCGTTATGCCTAGATGGATCGGCTTAGGTACTTCTTACTTCTATGGTTTTTTTACAAATATCACAACCCCCTTAGAAGTGATCGTTGGTGGAGCCTTTGTCTGTTGGGAACTTTTATTGTACATTCTCAATATATGTGTATATGCTTTCAGATGATCTTCTGAGAAATATTATTTTTCCTTAAGCTTATTTAATTTGTATGCTCGATTTCAGCGTAATTTTCAGCCTACTAAGATTGGCCGATCAAAAGAGACCTTACAGAGAAAATCAAGCAGAGACGCTTGTATTGCTCTCTGTATAAGCCTAATAAAGCCTATTTGGATTGAATTCGTAATTCGTTCAAGTAAAATTTCATTTATCTGAAAAGTTTCTGCAAGTATGAACCTATTTTTTAAAAGTTCATATAATTGCTAAAAGTGCGCATAAAGTATGTTTTTGCAAATAGAAAACATACCTATGCATAAGCACGTTACCTAATTTTACCTGTAATTTTAATTTATCCTCGACTATCCCAGTGACTGCATCACTAATTGAATCTGTGTATTCGTATTGTGCTCCACCATGGTTCCTATTGTCATTAACACTTAACTCTCATATTGTGCTTTGAACTTCAGAGGCCGAACGTCGGGCAGCAGCTAAAAAGTACAATATGATCTACGAGGATTACAAGCCGTACCCTGAAAATCATGATGACACCATGGGAGATTACCCTATGCTGCCTGCACTCGGATTGGAAAGCAAGAATCCCTATGCTGCATATGATTTCCCGGCCTATCGGCGAAACTATGGCGAACCAATTATGCACGATTTCGATATGTACACTCGTGAAAGGTGTTTATGATAAACATGAATTTGTTATTTCCATTTCAATCGTATCAAGCTCCCTGCATGAGATATAGGGACTCCAGTATGGCTTCATCATCTCTAACCACTAGTAATGCTATATGTGTACCAGCTAATATTTACTATTCGTTACGGAGTCGTTATCTAAATGAAAAAGTTTAAATAAATACTTTTAATTTATATAAAAATTTAAAAAAATAAATAAGTTGTTGTTGTATTGGCTCCTGATATTTTCAGGTGGAACGTTACCGAAAGGCACCATGTGACTCTAATAAGACAACTGTTTGCCTTCTTAGGAGTAGTCGGCGCTGTAGCGGGATATCATGCTTTATCTGAATATTACAGCTTTTACTGCGAGCTTTCACCTGTACGTGAGCATTGATTTATCTTCTTTTTTAGAAATAATTTTTCTAATTATCTACTTATGAATTTCGCGGTTTAGTTTTTCTTTGTATTCTAAATCTTGCAGGATCACTCGTAATTGTTTAGCAGTTGGAATCGTATAATGCAAATGGATTTCAAAAACTGTTGATGTGAGTAGTATATTAAAATAAAAACATGAGATATCTTACTGTCCATCAAACAAATCCCGTCGTTCAGGACAGTAAAAAATTCACAAAACCTTTTCTGGCTTTCAGGTGCCCATTACCAAGCAGTACCCTCGGGAGGGAGTGGTGCACTATACCTTTGAGCCCGCAGATTAGGATTTAATTAGTATGACAATTTTTTGTTGCAAGTATGAGGCTAATAAACATGTATCAAGTTAGTCACTTGGTGTGCATTTTTTCTTTAACAGTGCAGAATCTTCTTGGTTACCAGCTACGTCTACACTCGCTGATAATCTACCTACCTACAAAGCATGGCTCTTTTAAAACTGCACGAACACTATGTCGAAGCCCATTTTATGTATTTCGGCATTGAACTCCGCCTTCAGTACAAGAGGGCAATCACGATCAAAACCAATCTTTGTATGGCGTAGTTTATCAAACAACGAAGCTATTTGTTGTTTGACTTTAACGAGCCGAAGGTTAAAAAAATTTAGAGGTCCATCTGGTTTATAGAAGGATATATACGAAACTGTCAATTTTGTATAGACCTGCAAGTATCTAGTAGAATGTCAATTAAAACTGCCCACACATGAGCAGCTAGTTGCACAAATAGAAAGACTTTGTATAAAGTCGTCGACTACCAACATGTTAAGATCAATTTGAAGGCATCAGATCAAGCCTACGTTACATCAGTTGCCGATGAGCTTTGAGGTTCCTATCATGATTGCGCACTTAACGAGCTGATAATGTTAAATTAACTCGTGTTTATAGATCGGATAACTCGTTAAAAATCCAATGCGCGTAGATACCGTTTAACCAACCTATATCATTCGGTATTCCAGATACTGTTATTAGGATGTAGTAAAATTTTCAGTTTGACTACTGTCGGTACTATTTTACGCTTTGATAAGTACTAAGAGGATTGGCTGCACTATTATCTACTTAAAACCGGGCTAATCCTATTCTTAAAAAATGGCGTAGCTTTTTTTAGTTGGGTTTGTGAGACCAGCCCAATTGATTCAAGCCATATTAGCTTGACTACCCTTATACATATCCAGATAAAATCCTTTTCTTGCTGTTTGTAGATAACGCCCATTAATGTGTTAAACCTAATTCTCGGTTACCACTTTCTTTAATAAGGGATCACATTCACATAATTGTTAGTGGGCTCTAGGAGCACATTTCTTTCTTTTAAAACTTTCGGTGAACTTGCCCTTCTTCGACGCATAAAGCGGTGCGGTAATTGCTATTTGTGTCATACTTAAATACATAAATAAGTGTCAGGTGCACAGAAAAACGCTTTTTTAGGTGAATCGAATAAGAACGGTTTTTACATCATATAAAACTAAATATTAATTTACCATAAGATTACTCGATATTTTCGTCAAAACGTCTCGGCATCTTCCCATTTATTTTTATAATAATTAGTAATCGTCGTTTCACCTTTGTTTTTCACATCATATTCATACAGCATTTGCTATTTGTGTATTTTCAATCAAGCCGTTCTCGCCGTTTTAGCCATCGCCACTGTGGCATGCTGTTAACGACCCTACTGTCGCATTCTTTAGATATTTCAATAATTCACGTTCACTTCATTGTTCTTTCCCAGACCGCCGTGGTCATCAGATGTGTGCTCCATACATCACCCTAGGTACTCCTTGAAAATAGTACGCCTGTTAGACGCATTCGTTAGTAGCTCTGTGTGAATGGGTGCGTGTATATGTGTATGTATGTGTGAATGTGGCTGTGTGTCCGTGAATCTGTGAGTGTGTCTGTGTGTATGTTTGTGTATGTCTGTGTGTCTGTGCGTGTTATCTGGTATCGCCTTATTCTAATAGTGTAAAAGTTGCGTGAGCGACGACCTGGATACTTGTGGCATGTTCCTTAATTTGTTTTTAGATGGTGTGCAAATGTGTTTTTTTTGCTTTCGTAGGTCTTTCTGTTTGTATTTTTATGTTTATGTTTGTACGTTTATGTTGTTGTTGTAGTCCTACTTTGTGTTTGTAGGTTTCTGCAAGGATCAAGGCTGGCAGGTGTCTTCCCTCTGTTCCACTGTTGAGAGTAATATGATAATATTAGAAAAGAAATAACAGTTTTTATTTTACACGTGTGTACTTTCTACAATCTAGTCGCATCCAGCAAAACTATTTGTTGTGGTGACGCTCAGTTTACTGATACCTTATTGCGAGGTCAATGTATGGTGCGCCTGTCTGTCTGCAACGTACTTATGTTTTTCTCTTTGTTATAGGCAATTCTATGGATGTCTCTATTTTCACCTCGACTATACAAAGCTTCTTCCAGCTGTTGCCGTCGATCCGCTTAGCTTGAACGCAGAAAATGTATTAGCATCGCACTTACTGGTATATTTCCGCTTTTCACATTTTTTTTTATTAACACCACACCGTGAATAAATAACTAATCTATTTAACTAGCCATCTTCGACCGCGGCTATTTCATATTGGTAAATATTCTACCCATGACGACGACTACTATTGAGCATGGGCAACGCAGTACCCTTCGAAAACCGCTTTTATCCCGGTACACCGAATCCATTATTCAAAGTAATACGAGATTTTCTAGTTTTGTTTCTTTAATTAACAGCATAACTGAACTGACGAATCTCACGATTTTTTTACGGTAACTTAAAGATTGTATTACTGTCTATACAATACACTATCCGTATTATTACACAGCATACATTTCTATGAAAAGAGATTGGCCGACAATAGTTGATAAGCAATCGTCGCCATGAAATAACTGCGTTTCTCATCCGTAACGTCCTATAATTTCTTTAATCCTCGCGCAGGTGTTTGACGCGATACTTCCTTTAACTACCAAGCCAAGATTTATTGATCAATTAATTAATCAGTTATCAAAAGTAATGTTTTGTTTTTAACGGGCCAATTTAACCAGATCACTTAGTGTAGTCCAGATACAGTATTTCGTGGCATTCAGTCACCTGCACACCAATGTTATATATGAGATGATATTTCATTATGGTGTTGAATTCACATGGAAATCGAAATAAACGTGGGAGCTTTCAGAGGAAAGAGGCAAAAAAAGAGGGGATAATTGCAACTGAATGGAACTAGGTCGGTTGTGGCAGATAGTTACGGAGTTGTTATTCTCATGATGATTTTAAGTTGTCATCCACGATTCCGCAACCGTAGCGTTGTGGATCTACGAAAGTTTCTTCGCTTTATGGTACAGTGCGTCGACTACTTTTCCCATTGCATGAATCACTTCCAAGGCACCCACATACGTCTTATCCGTCTCCTAAAAAGCCGAGTAAGTTTTATGAGTTAACTAGTTTACAAAAAATTTCTTCGACACGATATTTCTTCCTAAGATAGATCCAACAATACCAGATATAAGTGCACATCGACAAATAATTTCTGAACACCTTGACTTATTAGTGATGAAAGGAGACGCTTACGTTTTCCCGATCGAGTTGTCTTAACTTAATATACATTCTCATCATTTAACCAGTAAAGAACCTATAGAAAAGATAAATGGTTCTATACCTGTTCCTCAAAGATGATAAGTACACCTGTGCCCTGATCGAGTATACCCGAAAACTTCTTGTCAAGGATCATTTGTGACAGCTTAAGCTCAACCTTTTCTCGAGGGAGCGCAATCACTTTAGCTACGTGATCAACTTGGACCCTTGAGTAAGGCTCGATAATGCGGCATAGATTTTGTTCTAGCATTTGATCGTAGAGAGTTTCAAGGTGGGCCGCAATGATCGGATCGTCCACTAGCTCCTTTTTGTATCGACCTAATGCCTCCTGAAACTCGGCAAGCGAACGTGACTGGGATGACTTGGCTACGGCCTTCATCGCTTCGATCTCAGGGCCAGCGTGACGTAATGCCAGTTTACCCATTACTATCGAATGCACATCTTCTGCCAGACCCAACATTATTTTGGACAACAGCATATATTTCAGCGCGGTCAGCGCCTGTAAGCACAATATAATTACACAAGCAGTTATTATTACAACAGGATAGTGAATATAAACGTAGAACGCTACATTTAAGGCAAAATTTTCGAAATAACTATTAATCGAGTAAGATTGTGCCCAAGTATGTCCTTTCATTTTACTAGCGACTCGATTATCACCTTCACACTGGACACCGAGTCGTAACATTCGAATGCCTCGTAGAAATACGAGAACGCCGTCTTAAAGTCGCGTTCATCCGCGGCATGAAGTACTCCCGACTGCAAGTCCAGCTGCGCCTGTAGCTTTGGTGGACAGTAAATTGCGTTAGCGGTTGTACGCGCAGACGTCAAGGCGGCACGAGCTTTCGGAAGGTTACTCAAAGCGTGGAACACCTAAAAGAGAAAGAGTATCGAAGACCCAGAAAGCAGCCTTAGCAATGGTTTTGTTTGTCTTTTAGTACGTTTTATATGGGAAATTATCCTTTTCCATTCGGTAATTGAAATCAATACCTTTGTCTCTGTAATAGTTATTTGTTTAACTAAGCGTAGCACCCCCAGGTATCGCCGCGCCAGATATTGACTTGTCATATGATTAAAAAATAAGGGTAGCTCTCTTTACAACATAGTAAATTCGTGTCTTATCTCTAAGTTTCAGAGTTTCAAAACACTGTGTAATTATATTTTCGAACGTAACACAGTTCTGAAGGAAAATTCGAAACCATTGAATAGAATTTAAATTTATTATGTCAGCGCAGCTATTGTCCATTAATACTAAAATGATGAATTTAGTGTTCAACTATTTTGTATGAGGTAGTCACTATTTGTAAACGTTTTATTAGTCATCCACGCACAGAACATCTGTGATAAAATAAAGTTTAACTTTTTTTTTTTGTATCATCTAAGAGTCGCAGAATATTTACTAAAATAAAAATACCCATACTTTTGATTCTAGAAGTTGTACTTCAACGAGAAGGTCCTTATCATCCATCTTCCTCAGCTCACGGAGAAGTTCACCGATTAGCTGCAGTGCCTCCGTATACCTGGAAAAAGGAACACCATTGCTGATCTGAGTTACACCTATTAGGGTACCTAATTGTGTACTAACTTGAACCTGTAGGATCACTCATTTCATAGTCAAATCAAATAATGCTGTTACAAGCAAATCCGGAAGGTTTAAATTGAATGACTTTTGCGCTAGTCGAGCCAGAATGATACGACTTTTTATTATGTGTTATAAAATACTATTTTTTTGCACATGTGTCAGTGCTCTGGCAACTTCTGGTCAGCCACATACCTAGTACATGTTTTAGGCATAAACTTGCCCACTAATTACCCTTTGTAAGGCATGGAAACCCCCGTAATCACATGGACATAGATCGGGCAGTAAGCAAGTTGAATAATCTCTTAATCAATTCAAGAGTATTTGAGACATGACAATGAGGTCTGGTGTCTCCAAGTAGTCAGACTGCGTTCTTTGCGTGCGAACGATAGGCCTCTCAAATTTAAAATAGCGGGCTGTATTTATTATTTCATGTTTGATCAGCATCTCATAGCAGATATCCCTGTTGCCCATTGTAAGTTTTACCAGCATCTTATGTTTGAGTCTCTCTGCGGCTGGCGGCAATAATTGAACTATCCCTCGTCTATGGCGACTGTATGCTGCAGGCCAAATTTTTTAAATTTTTTAAAAATGTTGATTAAATCTTCGCAAATTGCACGTGTAATACACTACATGTTTTCCCGATTGGCCTCAATTTGGACTGGTAAATTTCTTCTTTTCTTTCAATTGTTGCATTTGCACTATTTGTATTATAGTTCTAACACGTTACATGTGAGGCGCCAATTTTGACCAACAGAGTCGTTGGACTTCAAGTTCTGCCTTTTTGAAAAGCCTTCTCAGTTATGGCAATGCGTTCTTCTTGTTTGGATCCCGACATCTGATCACTTCCTTGCTTTCAACTTTTCAATCACCGCTCTTTCAATCAATGCAAATGGTGCAATGTTTGTACCATGTACGTCTCCTTTCCTAATGTCTTCACCAAATGAATTTTCGGAGCGCTGTGGCTTTTGAGAAATAAAAACTCGATCACTGACCGTTGATTCTTCAGACTAAAAGATGTTTTTTCTCTTCATCTTATTTCTCTTAGTTGAAACTCAACCAGTTTCCCTGAACAATTTTCCAGAGACTAAACCATCTACTAGTTATATTTTGTCTGCTAGCGGCACGTAGTTAAAAAAATTATGTAACTTCAGAGTCCTCTCAAGTTACATAATTTGCTTGTGACTAACTAATTAATAACTCTCAATGGATTGCGAGAATCGAACTGGAATTTGCATTGCTCAACGGGCATAATTTGGGAACGTATACGCTCTACTGTTTAAAGGAATATCTTTGGAACTAATACCCTGTCACTTCGGCACTAACCTTTTCGTGTCGTAATACAAGGCGATAAGCCTCGTTTGGAGAGACTGTCTGAGGAACGTCCTCTTTTCCTGCTGAGACCATTCTATGCATTCTCTGCAAAGGTCTACTTCAAGACCAGTGCACGCCTCCATATCCAGGAAAAGGTCTACTAGTGCTCTGACCAGCTTGGCAGCTTTTGCTTTACTCATGGTATTCAGGAACGGCCGGGTGTTCTTAATCAGCTCTCCAAGTTCTACAATATAACAATGACATCGATTTCGTCACATTAAAAAATAAATGTTGAATACTTACGTTCCTGTCTCTTATAGTTTCTCTATATAATATAGTAAGGCATAGCATCAACAGACTCTTGTCCTTTTGATGAAACTTTCATATGTTAAATTGAACTTAAATTCTGTACACTGGACAACCTATCCCAGCAACGTACTCCTTACACTACAAGCCTAGTCGACCTGTTCGATAAAGTCTATGTAGATTCGATGAAGTCTATGGCTTGTATGAACTCTATCATCGATAAACCGTGGCTTAAGTTTACCCTGAGCTTTGCCCTCCTTGGCAAGCCTGTGCCCCATCTCGAGAATGGACTGCACCTTATCCTGGACAACAGCGTCATCTTCAGTTCCAGTGGGCAGTTCGGGAAGACCTGCCAACATACACCAAGCAAACACAATCAGACCAGGCTACTCTATAAAGCTATTAGAAACGTTCGTTTTACCGCTCGTGACCACACTTGTCTAATGGCAAAAAAAGGTTCTCTTTATTAACCTAGTGACTAGCTAATATAGATAAAATATATAAGGATCGATTCAGCACCAATAACTCAAGCGTCTTCCCATGGCGACCTGATTGTTAAATAATTCACATTCGAGGCAGCCTTTAATTATACGTTGCAATTGCGAAATACGGAGCTCCTTTCCGTTAAAAGACAAGTAGTCCTTCCTTAGTGGGAAACAGTCGCATTATCAGCTTATTACCTCGTACCGAATTGGGTTCTACCAATAGTCATAATCGTTTCTGATGACAAATTGAATTTATATCTCTTCACTCATCATGCCCATAAATTGGAAGAACTTAGTTAAAAATAAGCGAATAAGTTCACAGAAATACTTCAGCACTTTCTCATATCCAGTGCATTTCCTATGGGTTCAATCGGATCGATTAGATCGATGCTTTAGAAAAATAAATCGTTCGAAAGAAGATAAATTTGTTCATCCTTTTTGCTCAACAATTTATGTAGAGATATTTTGTACTCGATAATCGAGTTTTATTTTGCTGCCATACATCGAATCAATATGTCACCTAAAGATTAGCGAGAAAAACCTCGCTCATGTCTGACTCTTCGTATTGATCTCAATCGCGAAAGTTCGCTGTGAGCAAGACGCAATATTAGTAATGTAAAGTTAACCATGGATACACGTTTAGATTGCACTGGTGAACTCCTTGATTTAGAGAAGGGCGCGCCAAACTCATGCTTCAGGTGGAAACACAGAAAAAACAAAAAAAACATGTCACATGTTCTCTAATGGTAATACACCACAACCATTCGCTACAAAAACCCAGAGAAACCCGTAAGGATACATATGATGACTGGCGAAAATATCGGCGGGTCCGAAATAGTTATTTGACATCACGGTAAAATAAGATAACCCCCCACAATGTTGCACGCTAAACGAATCCGCATAGTCGTGGCAACTCACCGACAGCCTTCTTTATAGGGAAATCCGATTTCTTGTCGTGTGGTCGCAGATTTTGGTGGACATCACTGGGTACAGCAATAGTCGCCATCTTGGCCGTCTTTAAATGAAAATCGTTCTGCATCTCTACGGCCCAGCACTCTGTTAGTTCTACGGCCACTGATTAGCACACTCAGGGCGATCCGACTGAGATCTGTGAGAGCAGAGGGTTGAGCGTAAAGCGTGATTTTCTTGTTTTTTTTTTCGTTTTTCCTAGTTTTTTAGTGTTGGACGGGGAAGTGCTTCTAAAAATTCATCTGCTCCTGTTTTCTACACATAGCACTCATTTAGAGCTGTTAATGTACCACCGCCACGCTCTCACCTACATGATAACATTTATGTGCTCTACAACTGATATATTTAATCATGTATCTACATAAAAGAGTTGCAAGACTGACGCATCGCATTCTTAGGATATGAGACATTTGTATCCTTGAATAATTAATTATCTACAGAAACTCATTGTAGAGTACGGTTTTCACAGGTTTTTCACCAACGACCACTGCAACTGCGTAGGACGCGCAATTTCGAAACCATCGAATCTTCGATCCTAAGCGGTAAATACGATCTCGCTTTTAACCCAGGTTCACCGCACTATCCATCGAATCTGCTGTACACAACCACTTCGTGGGTTAGTTGTCGTCGTTTTTATCCGTAATCGCGCTGGACCCTGTATGGTAGAGTTCGTCAGTGGTGTAGGTGATGAGCCAACATACCTTGTGTGCCTTAGCAGTCTGACGTTAGATCTGATCAAATTGTGCGACAGGCCTATCTTGGCCAGGTTGTACAAGGCTGATTGCGTCAGGTTCATTGTACTGCATGTGATCCTGAGTTAAGTACACGAAAATTGTGTAGACCGATCTATTTCCTTCTGAGAACGTTGACACCAAAACGTTTGGGCGATGTCGGCCCATGAACAGATGCGAGCTATGCTCGATGAGCTCATGGGAACTGCAAGAGATGGTAAGTATCCATGCTGAAGTACTATATAACTAAAAACCTCTACGAGTATGTTACGAGCAATGCGTGCTATTATTTTGGATGTGGAATAAGTGAGATAAGAAAAAACGTTTGTAATCATGATTCAAATTGGCTTAAACATTTTTCTACAACAATCCAGGCCCGTGTTGGTTGAACTTACATGTTTGCAATGTATGTGCATCAATGTTTTAGTAAAACGATTTGCTTTGTTATGTTATTATCAAGTTATTACAATAAGCATAAACAATTCTTCTGAGTTATAAAGAACACTCATCACATTCAAGATATGTATCAATCAGCCGGGCAGGAAATCAAGCGACCGTATGTTCTTAAAATCGTGCGTTAGCTATTTGTCCAGTATGTGGAAAATTACTAGATTATCAGCACCTCGATCGAAGGTTCATCAACAACAAGGTCTGTCCAATATGTGTTTAATTACGTCTATTGTCGTTGTTGTTTACGTATCGTAAAACGGTATCAAATTTTTGTCGAATACAAATAGCGATCGATGATAGAAATAAGATTATAATCCACATCTTTGAGTCAAATTGTTGTTTTATGACTGTGCATAGTTTGCCGCACAGCGATTTTTTTGAATTATTTTTCATTGTAATAAATAATATAAGGCCATTTTAGCAGGAAATTGTTTGTTCAGATCTGACCGTCATGTTTTTTGTATTGGCTAAAAGACATCTATATCTATTTTCAGTACGTTACGACGATCTGTAGATACTATATGAAGCACGGTAGTTCGTTACATATTTTTCGTTATATAATCTGTACAGACGTTGAGCACATGATTTGTGTCAAGGTTATTGTTTTTATGACAAAGTCAACAAACAGTTTCCAGAGTTATCCCTAGTGGACTTGCTCAGCTTCGTTGACAACTGTTTTTCCCAGCTGTACCGAGATGCTCTTAGAGTGCTTCGGCCGATTTTTCATATATCGTAATCTGTTAATTCTCCACTATTGGGCACGAGTGGATGTTTCGCAAATGTGTCAGCATCTGTAATATGCCACTAACTGTCGCTGACTAACCGAGCTTCCCTAGAGTTTGAAGCTATGACGTGTAGCTGCGACCTCGTAGGGTTTAAGAGGCAGTTGCATCCTTTACTGCACGTGTTTATAGACAACGCAGGTAATGCACGAAATAATTGAAAAATTGAGTGATATAAAAATTATTCCGCTTCGTAAACACGAGTACGCGTTATTCAAATATTAAATGTCTGCGTAAATATTTGTTCAATTGATTTCTTAAGTTATTTGTTTCATGCAATGTTATTTTTACAACGTGCTAGGTGGCAAGCTCGCGTCAGGGACGCGGTTTGACATTTTCCTTGGCTAATCTATTTCGAACATTAGCATTTGTTATATATCCAAAAAAAAGCATGAAAATACATACGTGAAATATATAGTTCCCGTAAATGAATTGCTATTGCATTTGGAAGATATGAAATAATATGATGACACATTCGTCCTTCTACGTTACAGGTGATTCGACAAATGTTCATGTGAATTTTACCGATCGTAAAGTTTGCAAGAGTTTTTTACTCAAGTGCTGTCCACACGATATTCTAGCAGCAACCGTAAGTTTCTATAACATATCTAATATTCATTCCTAGGATTTATGGGGCTATGTTACGTTGTGAATAACTTCGGCACGAATGACAGAAATATTTTTTAACATGACAACACCGAACATTAATGAGCCTTGAAAGGTATTAATGAATTTTTAAAACGAAGCCGTAAGCAGAAAAAAACGCGCGAAAAAACCGTTTAATTCTAAACTCTGTTCCATATGGGTGTTTACGCTGATATGTAATAGTTACAAAAATAATATTATTTAATTATTGCCAATAGTAACTTATTACTTTATCGTAAGTCTTGGCGGCAATTTACATAGGATCAGGGTTCTTATTTAACTGATTAGGTTAATTTCGGTTGTTAATCTGGCGGTATCGCTATGTCTAGACAACGTTTTGCAGAACTATGGTTGCGTAATTTTTAGTAGAGTGATGTTTGTCATTTTGGAACAGTTTCAAATTCTCTATCTAAAAAAATGCTATCGATTATAGCGGAGTAAATGCATTATTTGCAGACATCTCAACATTACGCGAGGCATATTCACTATGGTCAGAATGAACATCATTCTTTTACATTTGTGAACTTACTTTATTTTACTCGTTGATATCGAGTTTAGGTTAATTGCTGTAAATGGGGTGGCTTCCGCGTTGCCAGTTCGTATACAATATCATAATCATTTTTTAATATAAATTCGTTTTTTTTTTTTATAAATCCTTTAGATACCCTCAAAAATACAACAGCATGCCAAAGGTTAAGAACACGAAATATCTATCGAGTCCATCAAATGCAGAATAGATATGTCTCTGACTATTGGAGCGAGACTTACACATGTTCGATGCTGGGATGAAAACCCGTTGAAGTCGATGCCTTGATAACAGGCCTCTGGAGTCGTGGAATGGAATTGCTGATGCTTTTTCAAACGTTTGCTCAGCGGCCAATACTCACACAATATGTACTAAGAATTAAAACAGCGTCAAGGATTAGATCTCGTAAGCAATAAGCAAGAATTGAACCCGTTTTGTTAAGTAGACAGTTGCATTTGACGAGGTTATATAGAACAAGAGAAATATAAGAAGATTATCTGGCAATTGTTGCCTGCGCGCATTAATCTACGGTTCTGTTTTAGCGCATGGATTTGGGTAGCTGTTCTGGTACTCATGATTTGGCCCTTCGAGCGGACTATGAAAATGCGGCCAAGGACAAGGACTACTTCTACGACGTTGATGTAAGTTTCTCTCCCTTATTAGTTCGTACAAATGGTTCAAAGTAGATCAATTGATGGATGTTTTAAAACGTCGGTTAAAACTAGCCACGGCTCGCCCTTGAGGCCAACTTCATCGGTTGCGCCCCCACCACCTCAGGGATTTGCTCTCTCCCCATGTTTCTTTGCTACTTTCTTCCTTGTTGCAAGCTGCAAGCCAGCTTTATTCCACTCATTTAGCTTTTTTTAGATGATGGACTACTGCTGCGCACAGCAGGTGGATGCGAGCACGGTACGGTTTATCTAACAGAGGAGGTTTGATTAGAAATTTGAGGGGGTGTCATTGTAAAAAAAGGCGTTCTTTCGTTGTTCCCTGCGTGTTGTGTGATCGGGTGGGTCGACAGCATCTAGGTCAGTCCGATCTGCTGGCGAGTGGCCTAAACCCAGCCACAGCTACGATTGGGCCAACTGCAAATACAGCCAGACAAACGTCTGAGGGCTCCACCTGCTGCTGCTGCTGTTGCTGCTGTGACTTGAAAGTCACATCGCTTGGCGAGCTGCAAGGTTGCTCAGACGTGCGTGGCGCTGAAACACATCTGCAGATAGGTGATGTGAGTTGCGCCAGGTAGATGGGTTTACAGCTGCACACATCAGACAGACAGAGTGGGCAGAATTACTGGAAATAGTCAACATCATTTCTCCTTCATCTTCTTCCTCCACAACTTGTGCTCCTTCTGCGAGCACAATCTTCGGAGACCAGATTCGGTGTTCCTCCGGCGTCCGCCGGATCTAGCCGGGCTCCATTTCACGCGCTGGTCGTAAGTCCCTTCTTTTCATTGATACTCTCAACACTCGATTGAATATTGATTCACTTCTGTTATATGTCGGACGTGAAAGGATGGCAAGCTTTTTGGCGAAAAGCAGAATCTGTCCATCGAGCTACACGAAAACACCGTGCTTAGCGACGCAGAATCATATTTACAAAATAAAATCGTTTTCTGGGGAGATCAAACGGAGGTAAACTGGTATACGGGTAATTTTCTCCTGATTTTTCTCTGCTAGTGCTATGTCAGGGAGTCCACAAACAGAAACCGAAAAAAACACCTGAAATAACTGTCTTTTCTTAGAAGATAGTGTTTTCGAAGATTATTTCGTTTGTGTTCATTTGAAACTTTCGTCTCTCCCCCCCGTATTTCTGCATGTCCATGATTTCCGCTGTCCCTATCTGCGAGCTTGACCTCCTTGCCTTCAATCACAGTAGTGGCCCTTTCAAGCTAGCTTAACGTTTTCATGTAGCAGTATCTTGCGTAGCAATAAATAGTATTTACTAGAACATAATTAATCGGTTACTACGAAACAGCCATGAGACAGTCATTTTCTCAAGTTCCTTTTTAATGGCCACCTCGTGTGGGGTGCCTTTGGACCACTGACCTTATCATGATGAATCATCCGCTAGCAGTTACACATGCTAAAACGAGTTAATTACTAAAAGTGGTGTTTTGCTGTTGGTCAAGGAGGTCAAGTGGCTATTTTTTGCGCAGAAGGGAACACATTCGTTGTAGTAGTCGGGAATGGCCACCACTATTTCTAGTATGGATCAATCCTCCTTTGATACTTTATACATCTACGATGAACAATCCGACCGCCGGTAAGTTGACGCGGTCCAACGCTACGCGTCCTCTCATAGATCTCTCGTTGGACGTCGAACGTCGTGCCTATAGGTTGCGAACAGGTTGGAACCCTCGCAAAGGGACTAGGGAATCCTCCTTGATCTGAACCTCGCTGATGAACCACAGCCAATCTGGCCCAGCGGAATGTAAGTTAAACCCAATCTCAAGTGAACAGCCGAGGGCGATCTATTTTCCAATATCATTCACGGTTAGCTAATTTCGTATTACGTGCTTATTCTGGGAAGTCCGTATTTCGCTAATAGCATCTTGTTTGTTGAACAGAACATGGACACACGTGCAATCAACCCACAAGTCAAAGGAGAATTAATATCTTAAAACAGTCGTGATTCATAAATTAGGTTAGATATGAAATACGGTCGTAAATTGCTACTTGTACGCATATTGGATCCCTATAAAGTAAATGAAAAGTTTCTATATTTTTTTTTTGCCCATCATTCTTTCTTTCGTCATTATAGACCTAGAATAAATAGCGGAGCCCGCTATCACTCTTGATTAAGGATTTTTGTGGCCGCGTGAGTGAAACGTGCAGGAGCCTGACATAGATTTTGTTCTCGGGATGTAATTAGAATTCTTTTGTTAGCTCATCAGCGCCAGACTAATTTCAAATGAATGTATATGGATTAATAACATCATCTTTAATAAGCATACGAAGGTGGAGCATATTGTTAGTTAGATGTTTCTGTGCGGGCCTGTATATGAGTGAGTGCTTACGTGTAGAACTGTGGGATGCTACTGACTGAGCGATTGGAGGATGTATACTGTTCGTGGTTGGTGTGTACTTATTCAAGTCAAGAGCTGATGAACGCGGACTCGTGTGAAACAGTGAAAGACAGTAACTCTCTCTCTGTCACAGTCATCCGTGCTCGCCGCCCGCTGTGGTGAGTATTAAAAGAAAAAACCAACCGAAAAATCGTCGGCAAATAACGCACGCGAGCCATGTGCTGCAGTCAGCTGTGCTAGCTCATCTTCGCGCATCTGGTGTAAGTTTGAACCGATCAGCTTTCGACTTCTCATCACATCGTCATCATCTCCCCAGAATAGTTGAAATCGGCTATTCATCAGACTTTTACACAATGAACGAAACAACGAGTTAATACAAAACGACGAACTTTGCACCTTATTGCATCTAGAGACCTTTACACATTGACAACACTTGATAAGCAGATACCTAATAAGAATCGGACGCTGCTCTCCTTGCCAATAACTATTGGCTCCGAATTTGAGCGCTTGCCAATCTTTGTTTAGTATCAATCAATCAAGATATCCACTGTGACGTCGTCGGCGTCCACTGCCTTGATTTGGTTTATTTTCTTACGAAAATGTACCCTGTAAAAATGGAAATAAATCAATGTGTAAGCTTTCCGAAATAAGCAAGACGGTTTTCTTTTAAATAGGTTAAATGTTCTTGAGTTTCTCTGTGGGACTATCGTTACGAGCAAAAAAAGTCTTCGATAGAGAAAAAATCAGTCTAAAATACCATCGGAGGTGATCTATTAAACATTGACGATGACCGATATTTAAGTAAAAACTATTCCAAGTTAAAAACATTGTACTACGTTACAGCCGTCGAGTACCGTATAGCTTACTACTCCTAAGTTTAGCAAATTAGATAGATTAATTGTTTTCTATTTTGTTTTGTGCCGTTTATGACGGTCATTTGCAGGCATTGGAACAGCTCGAACAGTTTGTCAAAGAGTGTGATCGACGAACAGATCAGGCAAAGAAAAAGTTAGCGGAAACTCAAGAAGAACTCAGCGCGGAGGCCACTGTGAAGCTGAACAAGATTAATGAGCTTGCTGAAGAGATCGGTACGTTTACCGTTCTGGTTTACTCATTGAACCAACGACGGTGGTCAGCCCTTAAATCGTAGTAAAATGTTTGATTTTGTTTAGCCCTACATCATCCTTATTTTTGCCAGCATATTCAAATCATGCAACTTGGTATACTAATCCAGTTTGTATTTTCCTGTTCACTGACTCTGAGAGCAATAAAATCTTGTTGATTTGCATTCTTGGATTATTTTTTTAGGTAAAAAGTTGGCCGAGGCAGAAGCCAAAGGCGCAGAGGGTCTCGTTGAGGAAAGTATGGCTATAATGGAAGAAGTTGAAAAAGCCAAGAAGAAAAAACATGAAGCTGAAACACACTACCGCAACTCGATGCCTGCTTCCAGCTACCAACAACAGAAGCTGCGAGTTTGTGAGGTCAGTTCTCTGTGGCTGAAACCGGTCCACGTGAGCTACAAAGGCCTATCCCGGGAAATGTAGCATATTTTCATCTGTAGACGACTAGAGTTGTTATGTCCTGCTTGATGGAACACCACCATCTATTAAATTCGTTTAAGTGTAAGAGCAGTTTGCCGTTGGCAACCGGAGAACTATCATACACCTTTTACAAAAAATTGCTGTATAGAAACAGGTTTTTGCGTCAATGATCTATGTCACCCAAATAATTACAAATTTTTGAGTATTGTGTTCGATTTCAGGTCTGCTCTGCATACCTAGGTATCTACGATAATGACCGACGTCTTGCGGATCACTTCGGGGGCAAATTGCATTTAGGCTTTATAGAGATTAGGGAAAAACTTGACGAGCTGCGTAAACAGGTCGATGACACCCGAAAGGCAGGCAAAGCTAATCGGGAACGTGACGAAAGGCGGGAAAAGGAGGCCCGACGGGAAGAACGTGATCACAGGGAACGGGAACGAGAAAGGGAGCGTGATCGAGGCCGCGATCATCACGCTAGACATCACAGGAGGAGGTAAGAACGTAGCAACAAAGCCTCAAGTAGCCTCATCAAAAAAAGTCTCGCTCATTTTAAATGTGAAACCAGCTCCTAAACCAACTTGAACAGTTTTTCGCCTTTTTGCAACTCTTAGATTTAATAACAAAGAATATAACAGACCTCAGGAGTAGTCTAGCCTCTGCACATGAATAAACGTCTGATTGACACCATAGCATAGAAGCTTTCAGGCTGGCGGCTACTCTAAGATAAATATTGTATTTATATATAGTGTATTCTGTGTGTATTTTTCCTAGGTAGGTATACCCATGATCGTGCAGTGGTGAAGTATATATCTGCTAAACTCGAAATATTTATTCAGATTCATACAGGCTACTGTATAGCTTGTACGTTTTTTTTTTATTTTTAGGTCGCGTTCACGAGACCGTGAGTACCGGCGGCGGGATCGGGATCGTAGAGACCGTTCAAGGGATAAGGATAGGGGCAGTAATAGGCACAGACACCGGCGGGATCGTTAGTAATCGTCAAATAGAAACGAGGGTTCCATGAAAGCGGGGAGGCAGTTCCAGGGGCTGATTCCGTTCGTAGAGGATGAGTAGGTCTGTACCAATGCATTCAATGGCATATTACAAGAAGTAAACTGAGGCGCGCAACAAGCTTGTTGGGGACCGTGGTTCAGGGATAGGGAGGACGAGGACTCATTAGGGAGGGTACACGGGAGAGTATACTGTACTGTGAGCTACTGTATTTATCTAAAATATAAGTGGGATGGGGCTGGGAGTGGCAGTGAAGGCCAGGGAAAGAACCTCACTTCTGACGCATAGTTGTCAACTAAATATGACTACAGAACTGGTTTGCGCTGCTGTTCGAATCGTGTGCGTACCCCATACGTTCAGCAGCATAGGTGGCAGCATGGAATTTTCCTGTTTTCTTGTTTGTCTGTTTTTTTTTATATTGCGTTTGTGTTGTGAAATTTAAATAAAATAAAATCAATTTGAAATATACCAAGCGGCCATCAGTAAAAAAACGTATCGCTTGCCAGCTATTTCGATGTATACGCTAAACCGGGTTGTTATGTTAATAATAATAATTATTATTATTAATTGTGAATGATTTAGTACTAGTGGGAAATACATCTGGAAGCAAAAAAAAGAAAGATAGCGTAAGCAAATGCAAGGTCATGTACGGTTCGGTATTGTCCAACTTTGGTTGATCACTAATCACTACATCGTAAATTTACGTCTACATCATTTAAATAGTGATCGAGAAGTATATACTTTTAAAAAAGAGTATTGCGGAAACCGGGACCATTAGCTCAACCGGAGTTGTCACCTACAATGACTCAAATAGGAGTCCTTTATTATCAATTTCAACGGATCCTTTGTTATGCGACAAATCTGGTAACAGTGAAAGATTTCAGAATAATGCTAATCTATGTGTGAGCTTAGACGAATACCTTTGGCATAGATAATTTCGACCTATGACTCACTAAAATAAGAACGGTACCAGTAATTAATTTCAAATAAATAAGCGAGCCAGTTTATTAAGAACAACACGTCTTTTCTGATTTAGTTTAAACAGCTGACTGTTATACAGCTAGAATTACTTCGTATGTTATGTCTTGTTGATTGATAATTTTTGCGGGTTTAACCTAATACACTTCTGTAGGGAGGCACGACAAAGAAAACGGTATTTTTGGAATGACAGGTTACTTTATAGTCGACTGTTAGAAAATACCTGACAGGGAAGTTCCGTCAAGCCGAACTTAGCTCACTTGGTAGATTCTGACATGGTTTATCGTAGAGTTGCGGATGCGTTGTTAGAATAATTTAACGTTGAAACTGAACGATCAGCCACCGAATTTAACCGGGTGCACTATTATGCTCAATTCGTTGTGGGTACCAAGTACTCGCTGTAGCCTGTTAGTCTTGGGTCCGGGCAATATGACTGTATTGGAAATCAGACGAGCGGTAGATCCAAGAATGACCGGAAGACGTTTTAACCAATGATTTCTGAAACTTAGTTGTTGGATCTGCCGCGGACGCTTTAAATTGCCAAAATCGTATCTTAAATAGTAATTTTCACATAAATTTCGTAGCACTTATCTGTTATTAGTGGTGCAAAAAGCGGTCTGTGGCCGCTTTAAATCAAAGGATTTGCCGCCCAAGTCACTGCGCCGCCGTTGTCGATTACGTTAACTTTTCAACAAGTAACATAATTGGTCTTTGAGCTGCTTTTTTTCTCTCACATCTTTTTTTGAACTTTTTTTGAAGGCATACACGTCCAGCATTGAGAATAACTATTTTCATCATTAATCATATCATGAAACATTAATTTTGCTTTAGCCATAAATGGAGCTAAGCTGGGTGAAATTCAAGTTTACAGGTCGCTGGTGTCATAATGATTGACAGATATGGCACCAGACCACCATTGAAGCACGTGGACAAAGTAAACAACCTTTAGCAGTTGTTGAATCTAAAGTTAATTTCTGTTAAAAAGAAAAGCTTCGATTTTGCTATTCTGGTTTTGTGGCGCAGACTTGCAAGTCGGGACGAAGATAATATACTTATGCTTACATACGTTGCCTACTTGTTCACTGTTACTTCGAATAGCACTCGACAGAGGGTCCAGTGCTCTTGAAGCTTTGGCAAGTAATTCGGCCACGATTATGAAAATACGTGCCCCCAATTCTCCGTTATTCGAAATAGACTGTCTGGTTCCTTTCTAACAGTTGAGTAGAATGCGCATGGGATTGTTTTGAAAGCAATTTGCCGTAGAGTCTATCTAGAGCATACGAAGCTTTAGCTGTTACAATGCATGACATATGGCATCGAATGCCGGTTTTAATTCATTTAATAGAGTTCTTATTGAACTAGAAGGACATTTGATAGAGATGTTCAAATGACGCGTTCACTCATTTCTCCGTGTTGAGTGTGTATGAGACGGCCATGAAGACGATTCTAGAAGGTATTGCAGTGGTTTTGAACGTCGTAGACTGCCTTCGATATGCTATTTTCGACAGGAAAGGAGAACAGCTGTTCATGATCGGCGTAAAGAGCCGCCAAAAATACGCTTATATGTACAGTGTACAAATTGTCGTAGATTTGGGTCATTCCAGTGTATAGAAGATAAATTAATTATTAACCCAGCATTAGGCATTTTACAGACAGAAATCCAGAACAGAGCTCATTTGTCGTAATCCCCGTAGTGCATCCAGACGAATGTACCACGTCTGCCGATATTCGTCCATGTGTCGATTTCATAACACTGCTTGATCTCGGGACGCGTCCACCAGTGATTATTGGTTGCAGCCTTCACCTATCTAAGATTAGCAGGCCGGCTGCTCATCTGTGTAATTCTTCGCTTCTTTCATTTTTCCAATCCGACACGGATATCGAGTGGACACATGTATTGAGGAAAATGAATATCATTATAGGAAGTATAGAAATGGTCATGGTTTGGTCATATTTGGTCACTACGCATTTTAACTGATCTAATACATTTTCCTTCGACAATGTAAAGTTTAATTATATCACAACTATAGAAACTGTACATAAGAATTTACATATTGCCTACCATTTGTTTCGCAGTTGTTTGCCCTGCCTTGTATCTAAGAAGTACATTGCACAAGATGAATCAGCCAGCAGTAGTTGCGACAACGATTTAAGTGTTTAAGGCAAATAGTTAGAATTAATGGTTCGAGTTCTTCTCTATGTACGATAAATATATTCCTAATACAGTTCTATTTACGTAAACGAAGCAGTAATATAGTTTAAGCTTTAAATCTTCAATTTGTTATTTTTTGCGAGTAATTATTTCATAGAGTATTGTACCGGAACAGATACTTTTACATACAGTAAATAGTCAGTAATAGTGTTTGCCTTCAACTATGACGCTAATGCGTAGCCTGTTAATTATGCTGTCCAAAATGCGAACTCATGCGAAACCCATATATATATATATGGGTTTCGCATTTATATATAAAATACTAACCATGTAGGCTAAGTTTCTAAGCATAGGTCGTACGAACTATGTAATGTATTTCAAATGATTGAATAAACATACTCGATTATTTCAAGTCAATCAAGACTCATCAGGGTCAACGGGCAAGCCAGTTGACGTTACATTGCAAAGTTGTGTGGCAGGATTATCTGATATAATAATAAAAAATTGCAGCTTTATTCTCAGAAGGCAGTAGACTAATACGGTACGCAGAGCAGACTGGAGAGACAGGATATTCATGTAGAACTTTGGAACCCTTTAAACCATTAAACCCTATGACATATACCCTTCTGTCCTGGTTCGAACTACATATCCTAATCCGAGAAAATATAACAATCAGTGCATGCAATATCATTCGCAGGTCAAACGTGAAATTTCTTCTTGGCGACACGTTGCAAATGATGTATTGTTTGTAAATAGGACCTCATGTTCGTATGATATTTGGGATAGCCATGTAACACAGCGAGAAATGTTTATTGGATTAGGCTTTAAATGTTTGCGCTTATGGAGGGAGCCATCATTGGGCGTTCCAAGGCAGCTAAATTACAACGTGCTATGTGTTATGCTTAAGCTCCAATCTACTTTCTCCTTGATCATTATTAGTAAATATTTGGGAAAACTTAGCTAATTAAAGACCCCGATACAGTTATATCTGACTTTCTCCTATTTCCTCATAAGTAGATTAGATAGTTGATCCGGTCATAGGCGGATTAATATTACCGAATACATTTTACTGACTAGTACGGCGAAGAAGCGGTTTCTGTCAAAGTTGGCCCGTAATCATGCAACAGTAAAATGTCAAAGCTGGTTTAGGACAAGAACAGGTAGGCGGTAGGTTAGTTTAATATCTGATAAATTAATTTGAGTAATACCTTTTGAACATCGTCGGAAAAAAGCTTACTTCATACGATTTAAGAGTAGGGCCCAGCCTCGACTGACTGACTTCTCTCGGTCAAGACTGCTACCCACGTTTTATTTAATTCCTTTCTTTTACTTCATTCTAAACAGACTCGGGATTCTTTTGGGACATACACGAATCCTTCAAAACAATACAAGTCGAACTTATATGCAGCCATCGCTATTCGGAACGATCGAGCTAGATTAAGCTAAAGACTGCGCCAGTCACAATTCTGTCAGGAAGGAAAGCAGTCGTACAGTGGTTTCGAAGAAGATCGATCAAACAATTACAGATATTTTTTATGGTTCAAACAGGTATTTTTTAGCCTTACTTCCCAGGATGCCGCACCTTATGTATCAAGACGGCTTGAACTCAATGGAAGCACCTTCGTGAGTATTCTCGTGTTCTCCTACTATTCCTTCTGACGTCTCGGAAGCTCAGTGAGCGACTAGCTCGACAAGCCTACTTAGGCTCTGTTACAAATAAATCTTCTCCGACAAGTTTTTCGCTCCAATTCCTCTTATGTCCTCTTTTATTGTGTAGGTAAGGTCTCCTTCTCCGTCGCGGTTGATGCCGATGCTGTTGCCAAACAGACAAGCGCGGCGCCTCGCTCGACCGAATTGCATTCCATCAGGTGATTTTGTGTACACATGCGGCGGAGCAACAACAAAGAGCATACCGTAGCAGCAGCGTATACACACGTGCAATGATTCCGAAACATGCACGCACATAGGCACGTCTAACGCCAATGGAGAAAGGCGAAGCAATACGTCCCAACCCCTCGTTTAAGCAGAGAGTCAACCCGAGAAAGGACGACTTCGTGAGCGGAAGGTCGAACATCTGTAGCGCCAGCAGCAAATGATGTTCGCACCACGGTCGCGGGTCTTCACCAGCAGCAACGTCAGTTGTGCCACTAACGTTGGTGCCACCTAATGCGAGTTTTTGCTGCTGCCGCCGTCGCCGCCGCCGCTGCCGTTGTTATGACGGTAGCAGCTGAGTTATGACAACTCTACAGAGCAACCGCCGTCACCCCGCTGTCGCTCTGCTGCATTCACAGATACAGCCGCTAACAGCTAAATTGTGACTGCAACGACACAGGCGCTCGCAGCAGGTCGTTTTGTCTACAGCTGCATCGACGCCAGCGAAAAGGAGAAGCCGTACCAAGGAGGACGAGCGCGAGAATCTCAGCCGGACATAGCGGTAGCTGTATGCTAGTGATGCCTATTCGCTATCAGGCAAATTTCTATCTATCTGCGACTGCGTTCAGGGCGCGCGAGCGATAAATAACCGGATCAAGCGATCGACGACAACGCCCTATGTTCCTTAAAATGTATATCATGCATTCATTATTAGGTTAGTGTATAATATGCACCGTTGTAGAAGTGTGAGTGGCTGTGCGTCGTCATAGTAGGAAAAAAAAAACCTGCAAATGCCTTAGAAGTCAAAGTAATATTGGTAACAGTATTAGTTGTTGGTATTGTCGTAGTGAAACGACAAATATATCCCCACGTCTTGTGTATGGGTTTACTGTGCTGGATTGACTCTGATCCACAGAGGACCCCGGGGAAAAACCCGTTGTGTAGCAATTTGGAGCAATGGAAAAGGTGCATTGTGCATTTGTGATCTACAGTAGTCTCTAGTGTCTCATTCTTTTACTAAAGAAACCGTCACCGACCAGTGCTATTATACCAGCTTAGTAAATATTTTTAATACGACTACCTTCGTGCCAATCGTTGGATTACTACTCACGCTGGATCTACGCTGATTATCCGGGTAAGTGTGTATGAATGTCTATATATATTAAAAATGTATTATATGTTAAATGGAGAGGGCATTATATCGATGATTTGGCTAAAAACTCGTTTTGATTAAAAGACGGTAGTTTGTCTAGTGTATAAGTGAATTCAACGGCGTCAACGTCAACAGCACAGGATGCACTCATAGCAGCATCTTTTTATGGAAGCATATATACCGGTTAACCGGGGGCAATTTTGCAACGCCGCTAGCATCTAACAAATGATGGATCCGGCTACAAAGATTGTCGAACAGTCACCACTGAATAAGTAGCGTATGCAGTTAATGGAGGAGGACAGACAACAGCTACAGCTGCAGCAACGGTAAAAGCCGACGCTGAACGAAGAACTAGCCTCGCTGCCGAAGTGTTGCAAACATGAAAATTTTTATGCTGGATATAATATTGCTGCCTTCTACGGTGGCTGTTGACCCGCTAGTTAGCATCAGCGTAACTGCAGCAAAACTGTTTACCAATAGTGCCGGTAAGAGACATCATTAGGTTTGCTGTGCTGTTCTCAGAGCTGTATTTGCTAATAAAAAAAAAAAAAAAAAAAAAAAAGCGATCAAATAAGAACAAAAAACGCATTAGATTGAATAATTGTAGTATCTGATAGCGTTTCACTCAGGACATTGAGTCTGTGTTGAAGTAGAGATCGATTTAATTTGGAAATAGTGTATATTTTGGTAGACTTTAGACAAGCTATGCATATAATCAGACAATAACCATTTTTTATTTCATTGCGAAGAAAAATATGCTCAAAGAGGCTATTAAATTTTTACATCAAATTCACTGCGGACAATATTGTAAGTTTTCTAAAACATGTTTGGTAAGCTATTGTGTAAAATGTCATGCCTAGTTCTCCAAAATCTCAGCTAATAAATTGTGAGTTCCTTGTAACGCCCCATACATTCGTAAAAGCACTATCATCTCTTAGCTTTTGTTAACCTCTTCGGCTTGCTATTCATGTGACTGATAAAACACAACAGTAAAAATGGGAATTAGCTATCGAAATACAATATTCCATATGACAAATTTGTCATAACAAGGAATTGCTGCCTAATGATGATTATAATAGCAAATCTAAAACTGTTAAACTTTGACCGAGTACAAGGCGAATGCTTTGAAATACATACGTGATGTAAAGGTGTACAGAGTCGTGGATATGTCATACACACGTGATGTAGCTTAATGTTATGGTAGTGAATCACGAAAAATAGACGGCTATAATTCTTGCAACTCTTGTTTTCTATCGAAGTACATATATAATAGTAGAGTAACCTGGAACAACAAATATGGCAGACGTGCATCACCCGGAAACGTCGTGATATCATAAGGCGTTCTAGTTTCAAAATTTTATTCAACACACGGTGCTGTAACATTGTGTATTCTATCGCAAGAGGGACCTGTGACAATGAACAATTATTTATTTCAACATATTTAACATAAGTTATTAAACATATTAATTGGAACTATTTGAAAGTTTATCGGTATGCAGTTCAAAATGAATTTTCACCTACAATAGAAATGTTACAATTTGTACAATGTTAGAATATGTCACATGTAATCGTAATATATAGCAATCACTCTATCATATACTCCTAGGCATGTTAGCGCATATGTATAAACTATAGTCAAGTACTATATTAACTGTAATCCATTTTACATAAGTTTTGCTTGATTAGTAGAAATCGTTTACTTATTTTGAGCTTTACATATAGGGCGTTCGTTCCAGTAAGCCGATAGCCTTTAGTTATGCGTCTCATTTTTATTATTCTACTAAAGTATTATTAGACGTGGTGCTAATTAAGCTTGAATGCTAAGCTTATCTTGAATATTTGTTTCTATATTTAATCACGTCTATCGCGTAGTATACGCCATTAGCTAAATTATTACATTATTATGGTTGCAATATCACTTAGATGCAAACTACGATATGCGCGCTTAGCGGGGTGCCCGTTCGAATCGCTCTTGCTCAACGCGTGAAGCCCGCCATTTGTTCGCCGAATGTTTTCATCTGTTTGGCGGGCAGCGGCAGACAAGAGCGTAGCTACTCTCGTACAGCAGTTGCTTCACTAGTTATTTGCTAACTGCGGTCATGGTACGCTGAGATGCTAAGAGGAACATACACGATTCACGTGTACCACAAACTAGCGTGAGTTGGTATACACACTGGATGGTCTATGGAGAAATTTGTTATCTGACTCGGATTTTTACACGGCGTCTCTCCATAAGGGGTCAGGATAATGGCGATAAGCTGGCGATCTCCTAATACTAGGATGCATTCGTCGAAAGAACGTCGGAAAAGCCCCCTTATTTGAGTTGGTGTTACCATTATGTGGGCACTATTGCTGCCAAATACGGTTTCATCCAACGAAATTATCTTGCCTGGGTGGGAAGACAAGTGGCGTTTTATTTGTACATATTACTTTGCTAGTGAGACTCTCAGCCATGATCGGTCTTTTGCAGCACCGAGATACATTCATACAAATCTAAATCTACCACTGAGTTGACATGGTTCATTAGAGATGCGGTCTTGCCATTGTACGTTATGTTTTTGCTCAGAAAACAAGACAGGTAGTTATTAAAATACTGCGTACATAGTTATGTTTAAACCCTGTGATCTGAGCTTTTAAGAGCCTATGTGGGTTCAGCTAACCCTTCTTGTCGCAGGATTAACCGTTTTGTGATACATATTACTCTAGTTATTAAAGAATAAAAATTCAATTTGACTTAGTGAACGTATTTCAGCACCATACTGAGATATTCTCTGATGTCATGTATACATTTTAGCTCAACCTGCTATTTAGTGGTTTTTCCAGCTATCCTGTAGTCAGGCCTTGTCTAAATACAGAACATTTATGTGAGAAAATTCCGTAGTTCCGATGTGATTGGCAACCTACAAATATTTTAATAAGAAAACCCCGATACCAGTTAAATAATCGTTAATTAGGAATTGCATTACGTGTCGCGTTACGTTGAAACGCCCCAGATCAATATGATAAACCAATTCCAAAGGATTAAATTTGTTCAAATAACCTAACAACGCCTTTGGGGCCTATCCAATGGGGCAATTGTGTGATTATGAGGTAAACGGTATTTCATTCCTAATCTTCAGATACACCTTTCCATTTCACACGTTCTTTATCTAATCTAATAAAAGCGTCTGCTCAAACGTAGGTATTATAGGAACCAATCGTCGCTTAATTTTTAATTTAATTTAAAATCCGCCTGTGTATTGTTCCGAAGCAACTGTTTGAAATGTCATTTCTGTAGGCAGGAAATGTTTAAGAAATATTGGCGTCAAATCTAGTCACTACAGAGAAACGGACATAAAAATCTGGAAATCCAAATGTTTTGCCATTACCACCATTTTCTCCAAAAAGAACGGAACTCAGCAATTGCTTCCGATTAGAATATTGTTTTGAAAATTCTGTAAATCGTATTGACAATAAGCACGGACCTAAACGCCAGCACCGAGTCTTCAAACTTTAAGCGAGTGATCAGTAGCTATTAGTCGTCGTTATCATACTTCCGCATATACATTGTTCATTATACAATCAGAAAAATGAATTGAGTCTAAGCAGCGACTGGGTGGACATCATCATTTGTACCATCCATGCCATTAACATCGGTGACGATAAAAATTAAAAATCCGGCTCTATTTTTAGTTGAGGACTGAGGACATTTAGCGGGAATTGGCCAGATCAAATTAGGTTCTCAAAGAAGGTTTCAGGTCACTGGGTTACATTAAAGATGGTAACGGAATCGTCACACTTGTTTAGCCATGTTCCATTATCATTCAAGTTGCATTTTTGCTTGGCCATCTTTGCGCTGCTGTTCGAAGGCATACCAGCGTGACGCCTTTGTGGAATGAGATGGCGATAGTCGGAAAATAAGGGATACGGTTGTCGATACTCTGCATTCTTAGTCCCGTGTAGACAACCAAATCATTACCCTCAGGCTACCCTTCGGTGCAGTGTTAGTCCTATTTCGAGTCTATTGTTATACAAAACTGGGGTGAAGCATTTTACCCGAATCCTGACCATTTAACTTACTTTGGTGTTGCTCTCTAAATATACGCAGATGACTATGGCAACCGGATGAATAGATACGTTGTCTGGAGTTACTTGATACAGCTGGATAGATTATATAAAATACAGATTTGTATTTTTTTCATATAGAGTCGATGAGAGGTCAGCATGGATACATTCAAGCTTTTATAATGCATGTATATAAAGATATGTTACGCTATCTTTTATTTTGCTAGGCATAGCTTAGGTCAGACAAAGCCTATCACGCAAACATACTGTAAGCGTAAAATGATCTCACAGAAGCGGATGACCTGTTTTGCATATTTAGCAAGAATGCTGGGTTTAGGAAAATCCGCGACCGATTATCCCAAGTCGTGGTTCAATTAAAGTAAGTGACGATACAGACAAATAAAGTGGAATGTTACGTAGAAGTGCCCTAACAGAATTAATGAAGAATTAATTTATTAAGCGAAATTGTTTAATGTAAAGAAAGTATCATAGTCTGTTGGGCATGATTTTAGGCTAAAGAACTTATGGAAGCAGTATTTCTGAACAGTAGAAACTTGATTTTCAAGGTCTATGCGTTTTTAAATTTTTGTACACATTTTAGATCTTTGCACATACAAAAAGTTCATTTTCAGCTTTTTTTTTTCTAAAAAATCTAAGACAGGTTCAAACCACATACATATTTGGCGCGTAAGTTTTGCAAAGCGGACACGCATTAGAAGCTAATGACAGTACATAAATCCGTTGAGGCTGATTAAACGATGAAGTGTCGAATATTTTTAAATCTAGTTTAATTCCTGTCGCTGTTGTCATTCTTATATACGTTAGTGCCAGTTCGCACCTGTAAAACAATAGACACCGTATAAATTTAGATACCGCACCTTTTCGTGTCGAAATTCATCCTTTGAATAGATTAATATATTCAGTTAGTATGGCAAATA